CAGTCGCAAGAGTCCACAAAGTTCCAGGGAAACCTCGGTTCGGGTTCGATGAGGAAAACAATAGACCCCATACAGTTGGAAACCGGATTAAGACCAACCAGTGCTGGGATTCGGTATGTATATATATATATATATATGTATATATATATATATATATACGTATGTATATATATATATATATATATATATATATATACATATATTACTTTCAAGGGTTGAGGCTAATTCAACTCTTGGCAGGTTCTACTGGCTTAAGAGGTCATGCCCAAGCAGCATTGGGAGCAACATCATCGTCACACGTCGCACGCAGGGCTGTTGCAATTTGGATTGAAGGAAAGAGGAATTTCGGGTGGTTTCACACCCTTGCCGCCGAATCCCGACGCAAACGAAGCTGAAAGACTCCCAAATTGCGACGACATGTTTGTGCGACCCCGCAGTCTGAGTTTAAGGTTGGAACGAGGAAGCGATAGACCAAGCGGCATGTCATGCATTGCGTCCTTGTAATAGTCCGACATGCTCTGCTTGATCCATGACAAACATGCGAATCTTCCGGTCCGAGTATCGATTTGGCGGAATACCACTTCGTAATCGAGGAGCTTTGTGGCCTGTAAGTTTGGGATCTGTATTCTTTCAAGTTAAGGGGCTTCAGGATTTCGTGTGCTTAGCGATTGAACCTAGTGGCTTGAAGACTCGGCTTCAAGATTTCTTATTTGGGGAACTGCTGCATTCTGTGCATCTCCGTGCACACGCTTGGTCTTGCTTTGTGAACAAAGTATTTATCAGCATCGCCATTGAACACCACGTTCAACCCAAGCCTATCTTCATCCATGCATACCAGGCGATGATCAAACGCCATCGAGCCGAATCTGTGGTTGTATCCCTGGGACAATTCGGTGCGCCGACTCCGAAGCAGGCATCCCTCTTACAGTGTATAGTTGCAGGTTCATAATGCGGCACCGCGCTACACATGTGAGTTCAGGTCGAACTGGTCGGTACAGCACCGTGGCTTATCCATATAGCGGATGCTCAGAGTGCAATCTCGAGGCCCGGAACTGCAAGCTTCATCCCAGACTCTATATAACCCTAACGCAAAACCCAAACCCGAACAAAGCAGGACGCAACTGCGTAGAATCAAGAGCTTCATGAAGTACGAGACACACCGCCCGTTTCGGGATGCTGCTGGCAAGCAGAGATCGGTGCCTTCGATTGCAGATCGTTTGTTCCAGTTTGGAATCCAATGAGACGTGTGTAGCTTCTCTCGATTACACTGTGCACTCTGAGACCGGTGGGAAACACCTATCTGATACAGCGCAGTATCCTGGTCGATTCGGCATGCGTGCTGCTAGCAAAGCATTAATGTTCTTCTCGTGGCCACGTCACACGACCGGCATGCCCACCTCGATAGAGCCTCCAGGTTGGCGCCATCATCAAGCAATTCCTGGACGAGCTTCCAGAACATCAAATATTCGTGAAGGACGACCAGGGATGTGTCTTTCAGGACACACAGGACGGCTGTGATTCTGATAGCGGGCTAGATGAGATTTTGAATGGGCCGGAAGGCTAGGAGGTTCAGCACCACATGCCCAGCAAACTCTATATTACTCTATATGCAACACCTACCTCCTTGGATTCCAACTGCGCAAAGCAGTTAGTGGATGTCGTGGACTGCAAGCCTGCCTGGAAAAGCAGATTCTTATTCTTTTCTCTTGGTACCGTTCAAGCTCGTGCAAATATACACATGTGCACCCACGTTGTTCCCAGCACCATTGCACGCATGCCCCCCTCCACCCCCGCCCCACCCACCCACCCACCCACCCACCCCCACCCACCCACGCACCCACCCACCCACCCACCCACCCACCCTCCACCCTCCATTGTAGATATATACATACAAAAGTATATATACATATGGTCCTATACCCCAACCTACTTGTACCTGTACCTACCTATACCTACCTATACCTGCTTTCCTACCTACCCACTATATACCGCACACATGCGTATCTGTACTGGTCTTATAGCTACCTACACTAGCTCTAAAACCCACCTATACCTACCTACGGTTGTGCTCCTTTATCTATGTTTGCTAGTGTGCATGTGTACATGTATAGGTATGCATGCGTGGATGGATGTAGTGTGTGAATGCTTGCGTGCCCCCATGGTTGCCACGGGTACAAATCTGTCGTATATAGAAACCATGGAATGATTATCCCGGATGCACCAGCAGTTCTAGGAAGTTTGAATCCGAGGACATGACCGTGTAGTTGCGTGTACGTGCGGGTTTGGGGGCACCGGGGTCAGATCCGAAATTCTTGGAAGCCGGCCGGAGCGTGTATTTGCGTGTATTTGCGTGTCAGTGGCTCTATATGAGCCCTAAAAACGTGTATCTGCGTGTACCTCCAAAACCAGGCTGAACACAAACCTTTGGGTCGCCGTGTCAATTCGTGTATCCTGCTGTTGCCAACTCATGGTCGCCGATCCGAGATTCCTGGCAGTTGTGCTCGATTTAAAGTAGTGATCGATCGCATCCCCGCTGGTTGGAAAGACCCCATGGCTCCGACGAAAGCAAACTTCAGGTGGCCCTCCAACCCTTCGTCTTCCGAGGAGTGGGTTTGGAGGCCTCGAGATGGGCTACCAAACGGGGTATGGGTTCTTAAGGCCGCCCTTAGGGAAGGGGATGCAAGCGAAGAAGGCCGAGGCAAGGGAAAGTCAAAGGGACAGGTAAGTGGAGCCAGAGAAGTGAAGGGCAAAGGAAAGGGAAGTGAAGCCAAAGGAGACAAGGGCAAAGGAAAGGGAAGTGAAGCCAAAGGAGAGAAGGGCAAAGGAAAGGGAAGTGAAGCCAAAGGAGAGAAGGGCAAGGGAAAGGCAAGTGAAACGGAAGAAGAAAGCAAAGGAAAAGGACAGCTTGCCAAAGGAAAGCATGGCTTAGGCCCGATCAAATATTCGGTTTGGTGAGTGTTTACCACGTGTTTGCAGAGTGCCTTGAAACTTGCGGTTTGAGCCTATAGAGATTCGAAAACAGGCAAAGGAGAGGGAAAGACTGCCCTTAACACAAAGGGTGACAAAGGCAAGGGCAAGAGTGCCGAGGCTGACCACCCAAGCAACAACGCTGCCGAAGCCACACTCACAGAGGGTGACAAAGGAAAGGGAAAGGGAAAGAAGGGCCAGAGCACCAAGGGCTGCGCGGGAAAAGGAAAGGAGACACCAAGCACCGAGGCTGACAAAGGAAAGGGAACGAAGGGCAAGGGAAAGGGAAAGGCTGCCCCAAGCGCCGACGAAAAGGCAAAGGAGTCGCCAAGCACCGAGGCTGGAATCCCTGGAAAGGGAAAGGGAAAGGAGGCCCCAAGCTCTGAGGTTGGAAAAGGAAAGGGAAAGGGCAAGGCGGCCCCAAGCGCCGCGGCTGGAAAAGGAAAGGGAAAGGAGGCCCCGAGCACCGAGCCTGGAAAAGGAAAGGGAAAGGCGGCCCCAGTAAAAGGAAAGGGAAAGGAGCCCTCAAGCACCGAGGCTGGAAAAGGAAAGGGAAAGGAGACCCCAAGCACCGAGGCTGGAAAGGCAAAGGGAAAGGCCGCCCCGAGCACCGAGGCTGGAAAAGGAAAGGGAAAGGCGGCAGTAAAAGGAGGCAAGGGAAAAGGACACCCAAGCGTCGAGGCTGGCAAAGGGAAGGGAAAGGAGGCAAGCACCGAGGGTTGCACGGGAAAGGGAAAGATTTTCCCTGGGGGGAAAGATTAAAGTTATCCCTGGCACCGAGGTTCACACAGGCAAGGGAAAGAACGGCGCGGGAAAGAGCAAGGCCAGATGCTCCGGGTTATCATTCCGAAAATATCACCCAATGTAGTTTCTTGGAGGATCGAATGCCTACCGATGCCACTGTCGAGTGCTCATTAGACACGATATCACAGTCCATGGTGTGTGACCTGAGTGCATGTGACATGAGCATAGTAGATCTACCGGTTTTTATGTATGTCATATCTACCCACCGCTCTAGGTCGGAAGCCCTGCGGAGATCTCTACACCCCCGGCGAAGCGGCGGCGATTGGATGATGTGGCCTCTGCTGAGAAGTCTTCTGAGAAGGTATCTTCGCTTCGGGATTTGAGCCGTGAGTGCTTCAGCAACCTGACAAAGGATGCTTTCGTGTGCCCCCTCACCGTCTTGGAAGAAAAGTTTCCCTATGCCTGGGTTGGCGATGATGTCCGCATTCGCAAGAAGAACATTGAAAGCCACCCCATCTTCCAGGATTACATGGAGCACAACAAGACTCTCCAAAGCCCCTTCCAGTGGGAGATGTGTACCAATGATTGTATTCCGCACCTGCAGAACTACAACAACTTCCTGCTGCAGCTGCTGAACCCGAAGCCTGGCACCCTGAGCCGACGTGACACAGGCCGGCAATCTTGCTGCTTTTACAGTTGTCTAACAAACCATACGACCGCCCCCCCCCCCCTTCCCTCGCCCCCCCCCCCGACCTGCCCCCCAACACACCCCCCACTCCCAAAATACAATCGCGCACGCCCGCATTCACCCACACTCATACCCCGCCCAGCCCATACCCATACCCCTATATTTACCTGTTCCCAGAGCATTATATGCCTGTGCCCAAAACCGATACCCGTTCTTACACCCTTGCATCCAGGCCTCAGCACCACGAGTGCGAGCCCGACACTGCCAGCATCCTCGCCGAGCCCCTCGGAGCCACCGCCACGGTCCTGGGCTGAGAATTTAAATTCGGGCCAAGCTCTATCGACTCTATCGGTTCCTAATTCCAGGCCGACGAGAATGCCGAGACAGTTGTCATCCCTCACCGTCACGAGCAACGGTGACGGCGCGACGGAAGTTGGGCCTCTGGGGTTGAAAGATGAGAAAGGTCAGGTGAAAAGGGTCAAGGTGCTGTCGCCTGAGGAGAAAGAGGCCATAAAGGCCGGGTTTAAGCTGCATCAAGAGCATGACGAAGATCTTATCATGCACGATGGTCGGTCTGCAGGCCATGACCCACCCCAACCAGATGGATGCAGGGGAGCGGAAGCGTCAGAACGAAGCACTCCGACGCAAGTTGCTCGGTGGAGGCCGATCACGTTTCAGCCACTCAACATAGAACCACTAATTTATCCCTGACCATTGCAGGACTCAAGCCGGGACTCCTCGAAAAGTATCAGAACTGCAGCGGCACCACACAGAAGCCAGCACCTCAATCGGGCTGTCATGCAACACAGAAGCCCAACTGGATCACCCTGCAGGTTCGAGTTTTTGAAGGCGTTCATATTGGACCCCGACATGGAAAACATCGACGTGGAGCCTTGCTTCAAGGAGTGACTTGGATGGCACTCAGCACCACAGACTGAACAGCAGCATTGATTCGTTCTGCAATAAGGATGTCGGAGCGCAAAACGGCGGACGTGTTCGTGGAATTGCCGCTAGAGGAGCTCAAGAAGTCCTACACGAGCCCGGCCCAAGTTCGTTTTTTGACCGACGTCATCTTAAAGCAGCCAGGGCGGCCGCACCCACAGGACTGCTCTTCACATACACATGCTCATGCAAGCGTCAGTGTGCAATTCAATGTGATCGCGAGGATCCCTCCAACAACGAGATGCGCCTCTACAAAGTCTACCAGACTGGAGTGGACAAAAGCCCCTCGGCTCAATAATCCGAAAGCGGTCCGAGTGTTGATTTCTTGTAAACATACGAGAGTGTACCTGAGGCTCGAATGTGTCGCAGCTTTCAACCAAGCTGCGTGGCACGGCGCGGGTCGGGAAGAATGCTGCAGCCAGAAATGCCCTGGCGGAGTCCTTGGCAAGCAAGTGTGCAGAGATGACGAAAAACTCCGGCAAGACTGACAAGCAGCCAAAGACGAAGAAAGACAAGAAGGCCTTACATGTCACTTCGTATATGCATCGCTAGTGTCAAAGCCACGATAACTTGTACCATCTTTGTCTCCACGCCGTCATTGTGATCATCGTCCGAAGTCCGAAGAACAGCATATCATCCTAGGCGCTGCCAGATTGATTGTTTGTCGTCTGAGCTTTTTAAAGTAGAGCCTAGGATCTACGAAATTCAAGCCCATACCCTAAGAACGCCGGCTCCAATCCGGCATCAGCTGGGAAGCCACAGCTACTTCTGTCGCTTTTCCTACTAGACTACATCGGCCCTCCGTTTTGTTCCGTGTGAACAGGAGCTTACGCACGACGAGAAGCAGCAGAAAGAGTTCGATCGAGATTTGCAAGCGTGCCCTGACTTTGACAGCCGTGCTCGAGTCGAATGCTTTGTGCTGGATGTCGTGATGAATGCCTCTGAGGGTGCATGCTCTGGCCAGCAAAGCACGCGTGACTGCGAAGAATATCATTGATGCAAAGCTCCTGAACCAGGAGGTTTCACCGGCCTCCTTTTCGGAGTTTTTGTGTGCCTTCACATATTCAGCTGCATGCAGGCTACCGTGCAAAGCTTGAAGTCGGTCTATGGGCAGCTGATGGAGCTGCATGCAAGGCTTCCTGTTTGCAATCCTCGTGTTTAAGTCGGTCTGGAGCTTGCCCTGGAATTGAAAGGGCTGTTGCTGCTACAGGGTCAATGAGATGATCTTTAACGGCGACACCTTCGAGAACTATGCGTATGTCTTGAATACGGAGAAAGAGCGCTGTGAGGCGCCGGACTGTAGACTGTTGTGCGACAAACTCCCAAATAATCCTACTTAAAGGATCATGGGACTTAGTAAGTAGGTTATAATTGCCCCTAAGTGTAGTTATCCTAACTATAACCTACTTATAACCCTACTTACTAAGTCCCATGATCCTTTAAGTAAACCTGAACTATAGAGACAGGCCCTGCGTCGTAGGTTCGTCGTATACCTATACAAGTTAGGAGGAAAAATGTAAACACCAAGAGCAAACCCTAAGCCCTTCATGCGCGTAGACCCCACATGCTAAATCCCCACATGCACCACGGCCTTACACAAACCCCATGAAGCCTGCTGAAGACCGAACGTCCAACCCCGAAGCCCGAAAGACCCAGGTGTAAGCTGCATCCAAGCCAAAGTTGCAGGACTTCGAGAAGCAAGTCGCGTCAGCAGAAACCATCGTCAAAGCCCACGAGAGCCGTCTCATCCTCAGCTGGGTGTACTCATGCATGTGTGTTGCTATCGGATCGAGTTTGTTCTCACAATTAAGGGGTCGCGGCCGAGAAGAGAAAGCGGGAAAAGGAGAAGAAAGAGGAAGAGGAGAATGCAAAAAAAGCGAAGGCCGAGGATGAATGGGCAGCATGGAACACCGGAGAAACCGAAGATTGGGGTGAGGAGTGGGAGGAAAATGCCTAGGCTTCTTTATCGAGCATCGTCATGAGTTTTCAAGCTGTAAGCTTGGTCGGGTAGGATTGTTGGTGCACTGCTTGCTGATACCTCTAAAACATCCCGAGGCTGCATGAATCAGGCAAGTGTCGCAGTGTCATCGATGTCAGCCGATCGCGCCGTGCAGAGTCCTTGATTGAGGATCGAGTGTGGTGGTTTTCAGTGTATATTGAACCCCTTTAGACAGAGCAAATTGCCTCAATTGCCTATCGAGTGCCCCAGAGTCTACAGCGAACTACTTTCCGCCCTGCTGCCACAACTCGATCCCGGTCGCAAGCGAGTTAGAGCATCCAAGAAACATCGGATGCCGATAATGTTCGAGGCGCAGCCTGTTCAATGCTAAGCATTGCAGCAGGGTTTAGCAGGCGTCTGGCATCGATCATGTTGGTTGCCTGAAGACTCCAAGCTCCATCTGTAGAAGCCAAAGCCACCAAATCATCAGGTTCAACACTGAGGAATTGTCACTGCCGGAAGAACATTCTACTTAAACTTCTCATGGTTTATCACCGTCACCATGACCATCATCAAGCGAGGCATCTTCAGTGTCAAATCCAGCATGCAATGATGCTGGGAGGGGATATGCCCGCAAGCTGCCGCAGGCTGCTCCTAGACTTTAGACGAGTGCGCACTGCCGGTGCAAAGAGTGTGTGGCTGTCTGTTGTCGCTCCTAGAGATAATTCGAGGAACTTCGCCAGCGATGTGATGCCTCGATCATCCGTGGCTTGAAGACTTTAGTTCCTACTCCATTGTATTAAAGGCCTATGTAGATCCCACACCCGAAATGTTCGTGCAACTATCTAACCCAAAACCCACGAAACCTTAGATGAACCCTGAAGCCCGAAACCTCATTTTCATATCCTGCCTCTGTTATATCCGAATCTCCAAGATCATACAAGGTTAGTCTTCCAAACCTAAACATGTGAGCACTGTGAACCCTTTCAAATGTGTCAGCATGTCGAAAGCCCAATGGGCTACGCAGCTCGTCCATGATACAGTCAATGAGTTTTTCGAAATGCTGGGAGCTGGTGAGGCTGGACAGATCGAACATATGTGTTTCTGAAGTATAGACATGGTATGCTGCAGCAGGTCCCAATGGAAAGACTCAGATCCTTGCTGAGTCACGGTCTCAGCCATCTCGCATGTACTCGAAGATCCATCCTGATGCTGAGGTCGTTTCAACAATGTGCCGTATTATCTTATACCGAGACTTGTAATGCAATGACTCACGTTGTGCGTGAAAGCTGCCGAACTGAACTTGCTTTGTGGATCCAAGGCAAGATGTTGCGCGGTTATTGGAGATTGTGCAAGCTGCTGCATCATCTCGAGGTCTAGGAAATGCACTGGCAAAGTGGATCAATGAGCAGCCCTGGCGAATCTCGAATGCAATATGCCATGCTATCCCAGGTTGCGGCGCAGTGCAACAAGTCTCATGGTTGTATATATGCTTGCCTTATGTGAGGGCAAGTCCTACCGCAGAACTATTCGATGACAGTCCCCATCGCTGCTTGGACTAGAACCGTGGTGCGAAAAAATTGTCAACCTCACAACACACACTAGAATACCGAAGTTCAAACTCGGAGCCCGACGCGCGGTAGACTAAGAATCTTCTATGTGCCGGCCCTGAATTTTTCTATGTATGATCTTAAAAGAGCGTATTCAGCTGAGGAGCGCCTCGATATGCACGGCCGAGCGATCCCCGACACGCAGCAGCACGAGATGCTATTGCCTCACGAGGTTGTCGGCCGGCTCTATGCTTCTGGGCTCATGGACCTACTCACGGGAGATGCTGATGAGTCCTGTCTGTGGAGTGATGGCTTATACTTGGTACCGCACTCTTCTGCAGAAGCAACACTAATTTATAGGCGGTGCAAACCAATCTTGACTGATCGATCTATGTGGTGTAGTGTGCTTATAAAGCCCACTAGTCGATGAAAAGCTAAATGCATGTTGGGGCAGCAGCAACTTGAGGATGCCAGGCGATACTGGGAAATGGAACGGGACACCGAATGGTTCCGACAACATCCTGTGCTTTCCGCTGGTGTCGACTTGAGCAAGTGCATCCCACTGCGCCTCTATGGTGACGGCGCCGAAGCATTCCGAAACCCAGCATGCATGCAAAGTGTGTGATCGATGGCTTCATCCTCTGCAGTTGGGAAATTCAGGGTTCAGGATTTTTGCCTTGTGTGATATGGCGACCCTGTTTGTAAGAAAGCCAAAGTCTGCGGTCGGCCCACGCATGATCTCATATAACTCAGCAAGCCGAGGATCTCACAAGTTCGAAATCCTAGTGCTGCAGAGCGTTCTTGGGAAGTCTTCAACAACTTTGAACAATCGCTGGTTGTCTCTAGGCAGCACTGTTAACGGCGGTCATGTGGGTCCATGTCCACCTGTAGAATGTGCAGTTATTCTGAGGCTCTCCTGTGCGAACGCTTCATTGCACACAGCAGCTGCTCGGAACAAGATCCTTCAGGTTCTGGCATGGAGCTTCAATGCTCTTAGCTTCCCGGACGGTTATATATCGATGCCACATTAACTGCCTGAACTACACAATAAACTCTGGACTTTGGTAACCATGGCCGAGACTCCAAGGCTCAGTCCAAACATTCAATCCACAAACTTTTTGAGAATAGTCTCCTACAGCAAAAGTATCATTGCTTATGATTCTGAGTCCTGTATCTGGTTACAGATATCTCACCACACTCGCAATGTTCTGGATTTGGACGGGTTGCAATATATTCGTCGAAACAATCTAAGGCAGCTCTACGTATCCCTCAGTGGATGCATGGGGCAACCCGCTGGAGTCTGGATTGGCAGGCACGAGAATCGCGGGAGAGTATACTTTTGTGCTGGATGGCGTGCAAGCCGACCAAGATTATCTCAAGATTCTCTTCGATTTACAGCGTGTATTTTCGCGGCAGCAATGCTGTCACTTTTGCAAAGCAATACAGTGGGTGCGAGCCGACATGCCGCCGACGGGAGACAACGACCCGGAACTCCTCTACACCCGCTGGGGGAGGACTGCTGCACATCGCCACACGCGCCTCTGCTGGGATTCTGTTGCGGGGATATTTACGTAGAGTCATGGGCCTTGTTTCCTTATAAGTTCTGCTGTTTCAAAAAATGTAGAACTTCATCGAAAAGAATTTGGAAATAATTGTGGTTTGGTGGTAATGTTTCGAGGCTTGTGAATGTCAACGAGTTCATCGGCTTGAACGGGGCTACACCGCTCACGAGCATCGTTGGGTTTGATCCTTGGAGTGCCTGGCCTGCGTTCCGGTGTGTAAAGCGATGTCAGCTCGCTCGTGAATTTTCAACTGTGTGTCGTGTATCTCGATGCAGTTCAGGACTGTACCCTGACGTCATGCACATTCTCCACTTAGCCGTGATACCGGATGTGGTCGTTTCGGTTTTCTTGGAATACACGGATGATGAATCGATTTTCTCTGGAAGAAAACGTGATGATAGGTTGGAAGAGCTGTGGCAGCTCTACAGGTCATGGTGCGAAGATGGAAACATCGTGGAGCGAGCGCAGAGGAAGCTCTTCAGTACGGCTATCCTCAAGAACAATCAGTATGTCGAGATAAGTCAAAAAGTGATGAATGCCACAGCTTGCAGATACATGATATTCTTCCTCGCTGTTTTGGGCGAGATGGCACTTCAGAAGCTGGGGCGCAAGCTAGCAACTTCCACTACTGGATTGCAGGGGTTTGCTGGGCGTTTGCGTCCATGGAGCGAATCATGTTGCATGGCGACCGGTTCTTGAATCGATTTGATTGTGAACGCTTCTACAATGACTACCTCGTCATGCGAGGAGGCTACAATCATCTAGCGCAGCGCGCCTTGAGCCTGCAACTGCCAAGATGGCATTGCAGGCCCAAATTGCATCAGTGGGAGCACGCTGTACTGGATTATCTTCCTCGCAACCCACGATATACCTCCAACTTTTTAGGAGAAGATTTCGTGCGACGTGCCAAGGCTCTAGCTCTCAGAAGCCATGCTAATTGGATGTCGCGGCATGTTCTGCTGCGCTATGTGTTGCAGTTCTGTTTGGCACGGCGGGAATGAAAACAGCTGAGTGCGACAAGTGCGCTGAGATCAGACAGTGTTCACATGTTTCTCCTTCCTCTCCTCTCGCTCCTCAGTCCTCCTCCTCTCAATAAGCTATACATATATATATATATATACATATAGATATATATATATATATATACGTATACTACATACATACTTCTGTATGCAAACATGCACAACATACTATATTCTCACACAGTTACAGATAAGACATTTTTTTGTAGCATATGTTTTTGATTTTACGCTGTTTGGCTCAAGCTCAATTTTGCTTCCTCTTTTGGCTCAAGTTGCGCTCTCACCCATGGGCTGCACATTATTCTAGCTCTTGATTGGCTGCAACGAAGCAGTACTCTGGCTTCTCATGGTTAACTCGTTCTGAGGAAGAACAACGCTCGCGCGGAGACAACACCACGCACAGTCTGTGTTTTGGAGCGTGAAATAGAAATATTTGAAAATTGTATAGTGCGCGCGCGCGCGAAAACCACGCGCGCGCGCGCGCCCCCCCAGCGCGCGCACGCCTCCACCGCGCGCGCGCAAAAGAGCGCGCGCGCGCCGATTGCAGAAATCACACAGCATTTTAAATAATTTCCTTAAATAGCACCAAATGATTCTCGAATGATTGCGGATGCGTTCTAGATATGGAATATTTATATGTCCTAAAAATAAACAATTTAAGCGCGCGCGCTACTGGCCGCGCGCGCGCGCGGGATGCGCGCGCGCGCGCCCAGAGAGGGGGGCGCGCGCGCGCGCGCGCGCGCGCGCGCGCGCGCGCCCGCGCCGCGCGCCGAGGAGCGCGCGCGCGCCGATTGCAGAAATCACACAACATGTTTGATATGAATTGATTCTCGAATGATTGCATATTATATTATATATTGGTCCGCGCGCTTGCGGCGCGCGGCGCGCGCGCGCGCATGGGGTGGGAAGCGCGCGCGCGTGCGCGCGCGCGCGGGGGGGGGGCGCGCGCGCGCGCGCGCGCGCGCGCGCGCCCGTGCGCGCGCGCGCGGGGGGGGGCGCGCGCGCGCGCTGGGGGGGCGCGCGCGCGCGCACGCGCGCGCGCGTGCGCGCGCGCGCGCGTTGAGGAAACACAGAAGATTTCCGCTTTTATGCATAATAATACATATATACATATATATATATACACATAGTGTATAAGGACGCCTATATGCATACCATATGTTTTGTTGATTATATGTATTTACTCAACGTTTTTTACAACGATTACTTCTCCGCCGTCCAGCGTATGGGTGTGGGTATAATATATGTGTGCGCGATACTGCAGCGACTCCAAAATCCATTACTATAACTTCAACATATGTATAAAGTGAATATATAGCTTGCGTTCACATGGCTTTTCGTTCGGATCGTGGTGCGCTGACACGGCCACGCAGGGGTTCGTGGGTATACCTTTTTTGAAACGATCATGGACGGATGCGTTTCCAATCTTTTTTTGCGGCTTCTTGAAGATGTCAAGATCGGCTAAAATTTTTCTGTAGCAAAAAAAGCTATTTATCCGTACTTATGTGGTATCCGGCTCTATGTGGCTAACAGGCTCTATCTATAGATCCGGCCGCAACGTGCTGGTACTGGGATGGACCATCGCTTTCCTTGGAACAACGACGTGATACGTCCATTTATGCACAGATGGGTCATACTCCCAGTAGTCAACACCTCCTCCATGAGAGGACTCTGCTCGTAACTCAGCCTCGCGAGCTTGGCGAATATCATCATCGGTCATTCGCGTTGACTCATCAAGGGCGAAGATTTCATCGATATCTTCGAGATCGAGCATGTCGGAGGCGTCAAGACGCTCACTTGGCTTAGGCACATTAGAATGCATCGCGGGATCGTTGATGCACACTGATCGTGTCTGTTTATCGTATACAGCCAGCATCGGAAATGTCCATCGCTCCTTGGGTGAGCAGTATAGCTTCTTGACCTGATGGACGCTCGCACGCAGTGCGTTGCGCTTGAAATCTTCAAGGTCGGCGACTATATAGTCACCGTCCCACCTGCCCCCATTCTCGAAGTGGTAACCCAGAAACACACCGGGTTTGCTCGTGGGAGAGAATTTGCTGGGGCGCTGGTAGGACGATAGGCGTTGATCCATGTCTGGTCCTTGGAGGGATCCAGGTCGATCGTCGTCTCCATCGTCGATCCACTCGAGATAACCATCATCATCGAATCCAACTTCGACTTCGACCAATCCATCATCTCCAGGCGCAGGTGCGGCATATTCCTCACCATCGCCGAGTACGACTTCATCTTTCTGACTACGTCGGGTTTGTTTTCGTGCCGGCGTGGGATAGAAGTCTACAAGACATCCGAATGGGAGAACCTGACCGTCAAATTCGGCACCATTAAATCGTAGCGAATACGCACTTTGTCCTTCGCGTAACTCGATGTTGCGAGCATGACAAAAGTGCTTGCACGCATAAGGCCAGAATTTGGCGCTCAGTCCCGCTTGTCGAAGCGCCACTCGTGCGCCATGAAGGACAAGCTTCACCTTGCTCTCGGCAATGGCATTAGTGCGAGGCATGCCAGGAGTGGAATGTTTTACAGAGATGCCGACTCTTTTGCAGGTCGATATGAATTCACGGGCTTTATCACAGTAGATTTCCCGGATCGCAGACGGTGCATACCTTCTCTCCACATCCATGGAGAACGAGTTCACATCTTGAAGGTCGCCAAAGACCTGCTGGAACGCTCGAAGCGTGTCGGCATTCGTCCTCCCCTTGACGGGAACACTCTCTAACCACTCGGTCGCTAGATCATAGAAGACAACAGCATCTGTTTCCCCATTATTCCCACGATTGCCAAGCCCGTGCAACACCATAGTATCGATGGTGACGTGCTCGCCAAATTTCTCAAACCCTTTATCACGTGGTGAGTCTTGGCGAAACGATTTAACGTTTTCCATCTTTGCACGTTGACATGCATCGCAGTAGGGATTCTTAGGTAGATGGGTCATAAGGTGACGGATGGACTTAGCCTCCTCCCTCAGATCGCGCGCTCTCGGTTCATCGGGCGGCGACTGATGCTTAGGCTTGTTAGGCACCTCCTTGATATCGTCAGGTGCACTTTTCTGGGCACTCTTAGCACCAGGCATATCAAGATCGAGCTCACCAATGTCGTCTAGCTCGCCCACAGGTTCTTCACCCGCAGCCACGATTTTCTCGTGAATAATGATCGGTGCTGGGAGTGCCGGATACACACGAGGGAGATCAGGTCGACCCGCGACTACCTCGGTTTCGCTCGGAGCGAGGTAGGGGATGTTATTGATAACATCAATCTTGAGTTGTCTCCCTTTGGGATCAAAGAATATCGGATCACAAAAGGGTTCCCAGATAAATCGGTAACCAAGCTCCTTGCATCGTTTCCCTAGGGAAAGAAGACTTGGTGTGCTCTCCAGCACATAAGCTTCAATCAGCTCATCGAGGCCGTCAATGCGCATATGGGCAACACCTTTGGTGTTAGTTTTCCCATTGGCGGTCCTAAGGCTGATCTTAGCATTTTGAACTATCAGGTCCCTTTCTTCGCGGGACAGATCACCAAGACCAATAAGGTCTATACCGCAACCGGAGTCGAGCATTAGTCTCCGGACCCTCTTAATAGACTTGACAGCAGCAGCAAAGACCTCGCAAGCGCTCCGCTGAGAAAGCGTGAGCTCCAGAACACAAGCATCATTACCTAGCGTTTTGGCATCAACGTCATCGAGCAAAACCTGCTCTCTCCAAAGCACAGCCTTCATGTGCGCCCTTCGCCTCTCGCGAGCACTATTCAGACCACGGATATCTTCCGGCCACGAATAGTTCAAATTCCTCTCGCGATTGACGGGACCGAAGTTTGGCTCCGGGAAAGAAGACTCTATCACGCGGGTCTCAGTATTCCCAAACGACACTGTCTTCCGCTTGACTGACGGACATGCCATATCGAATGATGCAACGCAAGCGAAGGCGAAGTCTCCATAGGAGGATGCTGTCATTGCCTGAGGGTTGCGGCACGCCCCTCTCAAAAATCCGAGGGCGTGGGCGCCGGGCTGTCAACCCGCCTTGACGTCGGCGCGGGCTCAGCAGGCGCAGGAGCGGCAGCAGGGGTGCTCTCAGCTGGGGCACCCGGCTTCACATGCTTATAAGGACACTTGTCTCCTCTCGAGCAAGTGCCTCGTGCAAAGTAGAAGCAAATACCAGACTCCTTTGAAATCGGTGATTGCGATCGAGGCGGGAAACCCTTCGGCGAGGAGCTTCTTCCCTTCAGGTTATGGGAGAACTTGCATCCGCTTCCTCGCGTGCATCTGCCTTTCTTGAAATCGTAGCAGATTTCCCGTCCTCGCGGGGATCGCGACATTGGGCGAGTCGGTGCGGGAGCTGCTCGTCCCGGACTGCGGGAATATCGTCTTGGCGATCCGCGTCGCGGGGAGGATCGTCTGGGTGACGAGCGCCTCGGCGAGCTCCTTCGGTACGGACTCCCCCTTCTGGAGTCACGACGCCCAGGCGATCTTGACCCCCTTTGACCTCGGGATGAAGATCTGCGCGGGCTGCCGTGCGCAGGTGCAGCGTATCGTCTCTGCGCAGAAGTAGACCTCGTAGCGGTGTACATCTTCTCCTGATTGCGTCGTCGGCGCCAAGTTGTAATCGCATTGACGCAGACGGTTCGCAAGTATGCGTAGTTCCGTACGGATACGTCCCTGTCCCATAGCTGCATGTCGAGCTCGAGACAGCGGAACTCACGCACCTGCTCATAAAAGAGAGCGCAGAGAACAGGATCCTCGGGGCGATCGACTGAGATACCAGCGAGAACATGATCCCACCGATTGGAGAAGGCTTCCAACCTTTCCTGCTCGGATCCATGAGTAAACCGATCAATCGTGGTCTTCATCAGGTCAACGAGCTTGAAAGTCGAATCGCCGGTGACATGTGGTCGAAGGAAATCATACAACAGCCACAAGATCTGCCTACTTCCGAGTCGCCGGTTTATCGTATGCATGCGCTCGGTCTCGGTCTGGATCTTATTCTTCAGTGCAATAGATCGGACGCACTCACGGAATGCAGAGTTGCATTCGTTTTCAAGCATTCCGTACTTGCACTCATCGAGGAGATCCTCATACCGTGTACCATCGGGAATCTCAACCCATGATAGTGCGTATCCTGGATCGTAGGCGAATGCATTCGCGACTCGCTCTTTCATATCGACGATCCAGCGTCGCAACTGAGCAGGCTCCGGCTCAGGATCGAGACGAAAGGACTTGCACTTCGCCTTCTTGGCCTCGCTCAGTGATCCATCGCCCTTGGGTCCACCGAATCCCGAATCGTTGGGACCAGGTGGATTCCCAGTCTGTCTCTCAAGACACACGAGACAGATTCTCAAAGGATCTCGGCAACAACCGTTGCAACACGAGAAACGGCAAGAGATGCACGACCGTCGCACGATGGTCGGGAAAGTTCCGGTGCATCGCTCGCACTGGAACGTATCGTTCCCACTCGGCCGACCGGAGGGCCTGATGCTAGGCGGATCAAGGCCGCCATCGGGCGGACCACTCCCGTCAGGAGGGCCACCACCACCAGGCGGACCACCAGGTGGGCCGTCGGGTGGGCCACCACCGCCACCGGGACCAAAACCGGACCCGTGGTGCCCATGTCCTCCGAAGCCACCGCCATATGCACCCCCATTATCGTTGGGGCCATCACCACCAGAATAACCGCCGCCTCCGTTATACGCGGGAGGCGGTCCACCAAATCCGGATGGCGCGGCACTGGGTGCAGGAATGGACGTTCTGGCACTGAAGGTGGGCATCGGGGGCATGGCATCATTGGCCGCATCATGCTGAAGCGTCGCAGTAACGCTCGTGTTCGGCGCAAGGGTAAAAGTACCGGTCTCACTATGGAGAATTGGTGCGCCAGCACCGTTGCCAATGAGATTCGATCGGCCAAGCATCGCATCATACCATCGTGACGGTCCCTTCCCTGCCGGGACAGTTCGAGTGTCATAGGAGATTTGGCATGGGAAGGTCGGGCTTGACCTGGGCTCAGGAGCGAAGCTCCGGGCTTCAGGGACGTGTCGGATGTCAGCGCGAGGAGCATCATCGACTTGAAATGGCCTGAGGCTCGGAGTCTGACCGGAAGTCGCTCCGGCGGCATTTGCGGAAGGAACGGCCTGATTCGGCGATCTTCCTGAAAAACACGCCGACGTTTGACCGAAATCATGTCGGATGGGCTCAACAGGATTATTTTGCCCACGACTTTCGGCAGGTTGTTCGTCAGCGACTCGTTGCTGCGCTCGCCTCAGAATTTCATCGAGATTGATTCCACTCGTCTGAGAGTGAACCGTTGAGGCCTTTTCAGCAGGCGCAGCATTGCATCCCGGCGGAGAGCCATGATCGATCGGACCCAACAGGGAAGACCTCGGAATGGCCGTAGCCGGTCCGCCAGGGAATAGAGCACCTGGAACTGGCGGCAGGTCCGCAGGGCGTGGAATATCCCCACCATGGTCACTGATATCGAAGAACTGCGTTCGTTCTGGACGCGAAGGCGTCGATCTATCAGAACCGCCTCTGCGGACATGAGCGTTCTCGAGGTGCTGGATTCGAGCAGTCAGCTGATCGATATGAGCTCGGTTACTCTCCTTATGATCGTAGAGAGTGCGACTCATCTCGGATCTGATGACTTCGATGCGGTGAGTAGCATTCTGCTCCACAGCAGCAACGCGCGCTTCGGCATTAGAGATATTGACCTGAATCTGCCGCAGCGCGTCTGGGTACTGCTTGATGTGGCGGATCGTCTCGGCAAGCTGCATGGATAGCGATCCAGCACGCTTTTCGTTGAACTGATGGATCCGCTCATCGAACTCAATAAGTCGATCATTGATCGTAGAGGTGAGCTTCGCAAAATGATCTTCAAGCGTCTCGTGATCAGAAATCCGCCTCTCGCGGAAAGAGTCCTGAAACTGCATGAACAGCTCACGCTCTTTCCTCAATTCGGCCTGAAGAAGCTCCCACATGTCTCGGATCTTGCTCTCAAGCGCTTCGGTGATATCCGAGACGCCGTTCCTCAGTATATCGAGGTCGGCCTGGGTGTTGGTCACACCCTACGCGATCGCCAGAATATCGGTGGCGATGCGCGCGGATGCTTCCGACCCAATGGCTTCATCGACCAGGGCCCTGACAGCACAGGGTCCGGTATGCCACCCGCCGTTATCGATGGCAGGGGCGGCACCACCATGACCCGCCGCGGTAATCGTTGCGACGGAATCATGGGGTGCACCCGGATGCTCGCTCATGGGCTCATCGGGGAGCGAGGCTCCACCGCGGCCAGCCACCGGCCCATAGGAATCGGGGCGCGGTGGGCGGAAGGACGCCGGGTCCGATATCGGTGGACCACGGCCGTCCGGCCCGGACCCAAAAAGGGCCCGAGCGCCTTCTGGATCCCCTCGAAGGGACAGAGGACAAGCTGAAAGATCGGTCGGAAGAGGAGTAGGTGCGGAAGCAGCAAGAGCAGCGGACGCAGAAAAGGCAGGCAACAAAGGCAAAGCACGAGCAGTGGCAGAAGCAGGCAGCATGCCGGCGGGCATCGTGCCAGGCGTTGCGAAAGCAGCAGCAGCAGCAGAGCATGGCAAAGGCGGCGCATGGTGCTGAGCTCTCTGATCGTCCTCAGCAGGCGGCGAAGCAAGCAGCGAAGCAGAGCGAGCGAGCGAAGCGTGCGAGGCGGGCGCAGTGCAGCGAGATGCGTGGGCACTATCATCGGGCTCCACGACATCCCGAGCAACTGGCGTCACTAGTGAAGAACCGACAGTCGAGGGGACACGGGGAGAACCGATCGGAGTCGCCATTCTCTCGGTGGCGCGGCCAATCACAAGTTCCGAACTTGGTCTGAGCCAGGAAAACGGTAGTGATCGGACGCTGATTGGATCAGGCGGTCCGAGTGCCAAGCAGCAGCAGCGAAGCAGCAATCCACAATCGGATGCGGAGGCCCTACGGCTGATAACCTGTGAAAAGCGGAGGATTCCACTCAACTCTCGGTCACAAAGCCCAAGGCAACCAATCGTAGATAAAAGCAAGGCAGCAGGCAAAGCAAGGATGATCAGAGATTAAAACCGTAAGTTTGACGCTCAGCGGAAAGGCAGCACTAGAACCCCCAGGTGCTAGCGGACCTTTTGCTGGACCTGACGCAAAGTCGGTCTTGAGCTGTCAAGCTGCGTAGTGAGACAAAGTTGGCGTGAATCCTAACCAAGACACAGAAGCACATGTACGCATGTCCGTGACAAATCACACTTACATTCATGGATGCTACCAATTCTCAGGAATCCTGCTCCAAAGCCCCCCAAAGCTGCGCCACGCCCAACGACATGTTGACATCATAGTACTATGCTCTTGTCAAACTCTGTATCCGACCTCACGAGTAAGGATCGTAATGGGGCCACAAAGCCGATCAACCCAAAATCAAGAAGCTAGACTCAGGGATCGCGGCTCAGCTCTGGTAGGCATCAGACGCAGGGGGAAGGCAAGATGTCGGAAGCTGCCGTTTCGAGTTTCAGAGCTTCGGGCCCAGACAAGGTCTGTGGTTTGGGCGCTAAGGGCTGAGGTTGATATGTACAAAGCATGGCAAAACTGCCCTGCCTCGCTCTCCATCACGCGATCGGCCTCAGCTGTAGGACCCACCCGACGAGGTGCTGAGAGCTGTGAGGAAATCTAAGAGGTTCATGTCTTGCTGGCCATGTTCAGCTTCCTCCTTGAGGGCCTATGGATGTGAGAAACGGATTTGAACCTAGGCTCTAGGACTTTCCGCTGCAGCGTAGCAGCATGAGTTTTAGGGTCCAACAGCATGAAGCAAGGCTCGGTGGGCATCTTCCATCGCTGCTACTACTACTACTACTACTACTACTACTGCTACTGCTACTGCTACTGCTACTGCTACTACTACTACTACTACTACTACTACTACTACTACTGCTACTGCTACTGCTACTGCTACTGCTACTGCTACTGCTACTGCTACTGCTACTGCTACTGCTACTGCTGCTACTGCTGCTACTGCTACTGCTACTGCTACTGCTCCTGCTCCTGCTCCTGCTCCTTCTGCTGCTCCTGCTCCTGCTGCTGCTGCTGCTCCTGCTCCTAATCCTGCTCCTGCTCCTGCTCCTGCTACTGCTACTGCTACTGCTACTGCTACTGCTACTGCTACTGCTACTGCCACTGCCACTGCTACTGCTACTGCTACTGCTACTGCTACTGCTACTGCGACTGCTGCTACTACTACTTCTTCTACTGCTACTACTACTACTGCTACTGCTACTGCTACTGCTACTACTACTACTACTACTACTACTACTGCTACTGCTACTGCTACTGCCACTGCCACTGCCACTGGCACTGGCACCAGCGCTACCATTACCATTACCACTACTACTTTCCATCACCATCATAATCATCATCGTCAGAGCAATAATAACGACGATCATAATCGTAGTACCCGTAGTAGCAATACGAACATGACGATGAGCTTCCTGCCCGGCAGCTTTGGGTTGGACGTGCAGTACCCCGAAACCGTACAACAACCACACCACACAAGAACTCCACAGCCAAGCCGCCAATCGGTCTGCATCTAACGGAAGCGATGATGCCACAAAGACCGTATTGTCGTAGTCTGGCCGTGCTCGGAAAGTTCATTTCAACCTGAAAGCGTGCCTGAAACAGCCCTGCGCCCGCGCTGACAGTTTGACTTCTAGGGCCTTACAGTTCGCAGAGCAATATACAGGGACTCTGTAACCCTCAAATATAACGTGTAATGAGTCATCGCCCGTAATGGTGCGAATGTTAAGACAGCGTTTAAGCCTTGTCCTGCACATCAATTCTCACGATCGGACCATGGTGACGCCGTAATCAGTTCTCGTGTCGGAAGTCCCGAAAACTGCAATCATGATCTGCAAACTAAGAAGCAGCTTTGTATAGGACAAACTAGCAAGACTGTTGCCTGCAGAGTTTGTTGAGGCGCACTCCTCGACCAAGAATATCAAAAACTCAAACGACCCTATTCTCAACTGAAGGGCCCCCATCTATGAAACTCCCTGTCAACTCGAAATCCACCACCGTTGACGGCCTCAGGCCTTGACCCTCAATCCCTTGCATCCGGAAAACCTTCTCCCAAAACCTTTGATAAAGCCTGAAGCCTCAACCATTGCTTGGGACTACATACCCCCGACACAACACAGCATTCCTTGGCAGTCAAAGTCCACAACATCCGTAAACGCCAACGTCCCGGACACTTCCCTGACCCTAACTCTTCACGCTTCAATACCTGAACCCCCAAACCTAAGCCCCATACCCGTAGACTCCGAACCCCTAGACTGGAAACGCCTTGACCCTCTCCAGGCCTTGGACTTGAAGATGGATCAGCTGCGGAAACTGCCGGCGAAGTCCTCGGCAGAGTAGTGGGCTTGTCATTTTTGAGGTCTTCTGCTTCTGGTTGAATGAGGTCTATCATGTATAATGTAATCTGTACTGCGTAGCTCGCAGAGTTTGGGGATCTAGGGGTGAATCGGTTCTACAACACAAATTTCCAAGACCTTGGACACAGAATCGAACAAGCGCAACCCCAAATATGACTGAAGGCATGATGGGTCATCAGGATCTACCGAACATTGTTTTTCTGGTCGCGAGGAAGTTTGCGAGCATCGGGGATGCAGTCCTCCGATCTGCGCACAAGGCTCAACATTTTGTAGGGCATAGGATTCGGGCTCCGTTTTTTTGCCTACCTCGGCTCCAATTTTATAGTCTATAGTGGACCATGCTTCTTTCAGGCAAAGATCCGGCAAGGAGGGCAAGATACCTCAGCCTACAGTGGAAGAGCGTGGGGACTTGGGTTCAGGACTGAAATCTTTATCTGATTTTTCATAACTAGGGTGCAAGCTCGTCCCCTATATCTTAAAGCCTATACCGCTAGCACTACTTTTTCCTTCGTCCTCAAAGTAGAGGTTTTGGGCTTGTTGCAGTATCTCACTCGAAAAGTGCTGCTTCCACTGATTGCACCCGGGAGTCTGGTCTGGAAAGCTGCGGCTTCATCGAGTGTGTTGCTGATGAGCAGGCCGCCTTGTGCAAGCGCTGATAAACAATAAACGAATCTAGCAAGGCCGTGCTCTAGGTGGGCGGATGTTGGGTGTGTAAATCAAGCGTGTTTCTCAAGACACCCAGGCCTAGGCAAAGCATCGCTCTCATAAAAGAACCGTGTCTTCAGTCCGGAGGAGTCGTCGATAATGCGGTTTTCAAGATGCTCGCGGCTTAGGATTCGACAGGATCACAACCCACACAGCCCAACCTGGCCGCACGCGCTTCGCAGCCAAGCGCAAGCCACGCTGCAGCATCCATCCTTTCTTCGGACAGGGACAGGCTTAGAGGGGAGCAAAAACACCAACCCCAAACACACTGGGTCCCAGCCATGCGCTGCTTGCTGTTGTATGTTACAGCTAAATGCAGCACGAAGATCAGCAGAGTTCACTTGGGTCAGTAACCTGAGACGTGAAAGCAACAGCCATGCCCCGGCCCCGGCCTTCCCAGCTCTGATTTTGGGCTGCACACAACTCTTTGGAACAAACAAAGATACTTAACATACAGTCAATTTTCCACCATAAATTACAGTTTTAACACTGCACATCGAGATCATCAATCTATGCGCCAACTGCATGCCTGGCAGCTTGGTTTGTGCACACTCCGCGCATACCCGACAAAAATGTCGTCGATAACAACATCAAACAGCTGCTTGTCCTTCGGACACTGTCACCGATGTGCGACAGGAGTCAAACTTCACGCTGGCTTCGCAAGAGGATGTACCAAATGGACAATCTGATATTTCGAGGTTGGTACACGAAGACGACGCAGTTTATTGCAAGCTTGACGAAATACAACTAACTCTTTGCGTTGCTCTGTCTCAGAGTAACTGCAGGGAGGCGTGAAAGGGGCACGACAAAGACTGCCAAAGCCGTAAACACGGTAGCCGTACTTGCACCAACTGGAAATTATGAGTCGTGAGTTCGATCAGCACAGATAGAAAGACCAGTCAGTGCTGACACCACGGCAATCAGCAAAAGCAGGAGGAGCAGCACGAATGCCAGCAGCAAACCCAGCAGCACCCACCAGAAGACCCGCACCAGCACCATCAGCCGCAGCGCAAGCAAGAGCACCACCACCCACACCACCGGCATCGCCAGCGGCAGCGGCAGCAGCAGCAGCAGCAGCAGCAGCACTACCACCCACCACAACGACTACAGGACTTAATTAACTCATGCGATGCAAAGACGCAGAAACATGTAGCAAATATCAAGATATACTACGAAGAAATAGTGAATGCGCTGAGAAGAGCCTTGTTGCACCAGCAAGAGGAGCAGACTACACGCAGGTCGACGTTGCAGCCGTCGGGGTCATTGTCGTCGTCTCCAACGTCGTCGTACTAGTTACTAACAGCAGCATGAGAATTAGGCAAACAAGATAGAAGAAGTGGCAGTGGTAGCATAAGCAGTAGTAGCAGTAGTAGCAGTAGTAGCAGTAGTAGCAGTAGTAGTAGTAGTAGTAGTAGTAGTAGTAGCAGTAGTAGTAGCAGTAGTAGTAGTAGTAGTAGTAGTAGTAGTAGTAGTAGTAGTAGTGGTAGTAGTGGTAGTAGGTGTTGCTAGTACTAGAACTAGTACTAGCACTAGTAGTAACAGTAGTAGGTAGCAGTAGTAGAGGCAGTGGTGGTGGTGGTAGTAGTGGTAGTAGTGTTAGTAGTAGTTGTAGTAGTAGTGGTAGGGGTAGTGGTAGTGGTAGTGGTAGTAGGAGTAGTAGTGGTGGTAATGGTAGTAGTGGCAGCAGCAGTAGTAGTAGCAGTAGTAGTAGTAGTAGTAGTAGTAGTAGGAGTAGTAGGAGTCGTAGTAGTAGGAGTAGTAGTAGTAGTAGCAGTAGTAGTAGTAGTAGTCGTAGTAGTAGTCGTGGTAGTAGCAGTAGCAGTAGTAGTAGAAGTAGTAGTAGTAGTAGTAGTAGAAGTAGTAGTAGTAGTAGTAGTAGTAGTAGTAGTAGTAGAAGTAGTAGCAGTAGCAGTGGCAGTGGCAGTGGTAGCGGTTGTCGCCGTTGGTCCTCCATCCTCGTCTCCGTCGCCGTTGCTGCCCTCGCTGTTTCTGCTGCTCTTGCTGATCTTCTAGCCGACTGATCCAAACTCAACGCTATGAGGTTGTCTTGGTGATGATGACTGGCAGGAGCGAGGGTGCTGCGGATGCTTGTGCAGATCATCGTCGTAGTGATAGTTGTGGTTGCTGGACTATTGGTGGTACACACCCGAGAGAGTATATCAGCAGTAAGCAGTAGGACTAGCAGCAAGAAAAGCGGAGAAATGATGCAATAGGAAGAGGTGAGGCTGGCAGGGGCTGAAAACACGGACGAGCAGGATGACGGCTAGCGGCATTGCTCCTGCCACTGCCCCATCTTTTCCCGAAGACTCTACTGGAAGCGGCCCTACTGCCCCTGTAAAAAAATCGCTAGACGCTAGAAATGTAGGACCCGTCCTTTTGGAGCACCTCCAAAGCCTCGGTGTGCTGCAAGTGTTGGTGGCTGGCGGCGGGTTGAAATGTTAGAGGCTGGAGGCTTGAGGCGCAGGGACACTCGGTGGGATCTCCGGTTCAGCACTTTCGGTACAAAGGCCTCCGTTCGCCAAAAACATCGCCGCATGCAAGCCCAAAGGGCATCACACCGCCGCACGTCCACTCCCAAGTCGTCAAGGCCAAAGTGACGTCTGGCTGCGTCGAGTACCTCTGCAGTGTTGCCGCAGAAACCGAAATCCGAAACCGAAACTGCCATACACATAGTGCAGACACACGGCCGCAGGCCAGAAACAACCAGCGACCGAGACCTCAAGCTAAACTCCAAACCAGAATCATGCCTAATGTGAAACCTAGTTGCCGGCACGTCGAGTGCCGGGTAAGAGTAGCAGGTGCACGACGTGCGTGTCTGTGTGCTCATGCTAGAACTGCTAGAACTTGCGCTTGGCAATGTAAGCACTGTAGGGTTCATAACTCATGAGTCATCAGCATCAAGGTTTTCAGAGGTTTGCCTGTGATGTCTATTTAGGCAGAACAGTCACAGGCCTTCTTCAGGTCGCTTGCACTTCTGCACTCTTATGCAAAAGCATCTTGCACTTGAGTCTGGGATTTCGGGTTGTGTAGCTTGTCCTTCCTGTGAACTCTGCCAGTTTAGGCATTTTGTCAACCTGTAGTGCGGACATTGATGCCTGTCGGCCCCAAATCACTGGACAAAATCCGCACACAGCCCGAAACCTCAAGGACAAAAGACCTGCATGAGAAGACTCCTTCATCTGCTCGTGTGCGCACGATGATAAAACAAAAGGAAGGCGGGAACGCAGGCCAAACCTTTACTCGGGGACTGTCCTAACATGTTGCAACATGGAAGTGCATTGAGGTATTTATCACAGACCTCTGCCCAACACATGCGCATATATATATATATATATATATACACACATATACACCTACATACATACATATATATATATATATAGACATGTATGCAGACACACTCCTACACCTACACCTAAGCCACGTAAGACAAACCAAACGAAGTGAGGATTTGGAGACCCACCTCATCGTCCATCTCCACCCCCACAATACTGGCCTGAAGCACAAGTGGATGAGCCAGTTTGCAAGAAAAAGCTCCCACACCAGAGCGGATTCTTGTTCAAGACACAGCAAAACTAGAGCCCAGAAGAACTCCAGGCTCTCCGTGAAGCCGTTCCAACTCCAGAGAAAGCAGTTGTAGGCCGGTTGTAGGGCTCAAGGGCTTTGGCGCGGCGGAAGGATTTCGGGCTGACGCTTCGAGAGTTAGCACGTGGCATTTAGACCTTAACGTCTCGAACTGCGCAAGACCTGTCTCTAGCAGTGCCAGGGCACAAAACAAGTACAGAGAATCCTTGTCGGCGCTCCGCCCTTGAATGAAGAAAGCTTCATGTGAATAAACTCCAGAGGCAGGCTTCTCAATCAGTGGGTCAGAAGTCCAGGAAATTCTCGTGAACTTGACTCAGAAAATGAAGCACCTCAGCTTCAACCTGATTACCCACCATACGACCATCGACCCCGTGGAACTTTACATGCCAAACCCAAAACCCAAGCAGCACTTCGGAAAAAAAACGAAAACCAGACCTCTCAGGGACTTGCACGAAACCGCGGATCAGCGGATCCCACCCTGAACCTCCCGGGTGCATGCAGGAGCCGTGTCTCCATACCCAAACCCTATACCCAAAATCCTAAGCCTCGAAACCCAATCCTAGAAACACCAACTCAACACCGAAACCCTGCTATCCTAAACCATCCTAAACCCCTAGGCATGTAAACCCGTTTGAGCCTCTGGGCACAATGCCCTCAGCGCCCGCGCCACGGTGCCACCACCGAGGCCAAGGATGAGAATCGAGCGCCTCAGGTTATTTGGCTGTGTCGTTAGCAAAGCTGAGTCTTCCTAAGGGTCTTATGAGGGCTGTTCCACATTTTTTGCATGTCAAAACCAAAGAGATACGGCCAGAACATGATGCATCTCAGGCACGGCTGTCGAGGCAGAAGTAGCACAGGTGCTGCCAGCACGTCCTTACAAGTAGCTCTAGCACGAACTAGTTTGAGTGTTGCAGGCAGGTGGCAGACTAGTTCATCCCGTTGCCCCTAGCTGTGCAGAAACCTGACAGTCATTCCACGAATCTGTGCGGCGTTTGTTTATGCAAAGGACGCGAGCAAAGGAATCAGAACGCAACCCGTACCAGGTTTTGCAGTGTTCGACTGAGCATGATATCCTGCATTGTCCCGCCGGGCACTACCAGGGAAACCCCAACCTGTTTGCACATGTCTCTGAGAATGGCGCTCACGATGGTGATGATGCTCATGATGCTGCCGATGATCGATGCACTGTTCTAAACCCCATCAGCCGTTGTATCCCGTGCCCTTAGGACGCAAAACCCCAAGAGCCCCTCCTGAAAATACAACTGCATCACCTAACCGCAAAGCCACAACATTTCCGAAACGCTTCAAGAGAAGACTTCTCAAGTGCTTCTTGAAGCTTAATCCCGTTGTAACGCCGTCAGCGCCTATCATTCCCGGGCCAGGGCTCCCAAATCCCAGCGCTCGCGGCCTGACCCGGCCTGCAGGGAAGGCTTGGCCTCCGTTGTAGGGTTGGGAACCAGTTTGTCATCCTGAACCCCCATCTCCAACCTTAACACACCTTTGCATCCCTTGCTCTGCTCAGGTCTGAAAAGCACTTCAGGGTCCGCTCTGGGTTCAGGAACACATCCCCGGCTTGACGTTCAGGGCTCAGGGCTCCGCCTTCGAGATCCTCCGAGCCATGGTGCCCATTTCGGGGCATCTAGGTCCTAGGTGAATCTAGGACCCACATTCCAGTCAACCCTGAAGCCACCAAGTCTCGATTCCTGGCCGGTTCGCGAGCGAAACCAGAAACAAGCCTTAAAACCGAATCCGCAAGACTCTCACGCCTCTGCTCCGGTGCTACGCAGCGAAGCAATGCCGATACTCCAAGCCCAAACTCCAACATCCATACTACGAGCCTGAAGCCGTAGCTTCAGCCGCCTTCTGTACATTTCATGCGCTCCTGTGCGCGAGCTGAAGACTTCGCTCCCTGTGTATCAACTCGAGAACCCTTTTGAACCCAAAGCTGAAACCGTCGCAAATCCTGACGTTGAGGCTGGAGTCTGGGCGCGACTCAGATGATCAATCGTTGGACCCCAATCCTCTCTAACCTCTCCACCCCCCAATTTGCATGCGCGCCTGTAGATCGACGCAAATGTCCTTAGATCCAGGAGCTCTGCCTTGCTACTGCCACTCGCTGAAATCCCTCTGCACCCTCAACACCCGCCGCTTAACAAGATAACGTAAAGGGTTCCTTGGGTCTTGCCTCGGGGCATACTGTAGGGTTCGCGTTTCGGGTTTGTGGTTTGAGGCTCAAGCATCCCGGGGGCTTGGGCGGCGTGTAGAATTGATTACGCCAAATGGCTTGAAATTCAGGGCGTACTCTCATTGCTCTGCTTCTTCAAGCCGAAGCCGGGAATCCCGAAACCCACCCAGTTCAGATTCTCTCCCCTGACTACAGCAAGCACATTTCCGGGATTACCGTTAGTACCTTCACTACCAAAACGACCTCTATACTTTCATGCAGATTCACTCTGGGGAATAGCTGCTTCAAGCTTCGCGCCAGTGTTGGCACTTGGCCACAGCCACATTGAGGCGTTGGTATTTTTGTCACGACGATCTCTGCTGACTCCAGAACTGATGCTCCCACACGCTGGGTTTTTTGGATAGGTCATATTGAGCTGAAACCTGGACGTTGAGATCACTCTTACAGGCACTCTTCTTGAGGCATCCTTCAATTATTGAGCTACTGTTTCACAGATTCTTTGTGGTCATGTTGTGTGGTTGGGTGGGGTTGGGTGTGGGTGGGCGGGTGGGGGTCGGGGTCGGGGTGGGGGTGGGTGTGGGTGTGGGTGGGGGTTGGGTGTGGGTGGGTGGGGGGTGGGCGTGGGTCCACCCCAGTCAGAGCACCAAAGGCCGTTGTACAAGAACACCCAAGGCGGGCTGGGCTGTCCCTCCAGATCTGGACGTCGACATTTCCAGCTGAGCCTGCAGCGAGAGATTCTAAAAATGAAACACAACGAAGAATTTAATTTAGGCCCTTTCGCCAAGCCAAAGGTCTCATCAACAATAAGCTCCAGCGCATTTTCATCCTCGGAGGGCTGAACGCGAACACGCACAGAGTCCTCTGCGGTTCTTGGCACCTGGAGAGATTCCAGAGGCTTCGGGCGAATCTAAAGGTTTCGGATCGCTAAGGCTCGGGGCTTGTCAACCGAGAAGTCTAGCAAGGGCACGATCGTTTCCAGGATGAAAAGCTTGCTGCTTGCTCCTGTGAGGAAGCTTCAGCACAACAAACCATACCAAGGGCCAGGATCAGAAGCTGGACCAAGGCTGCCCAAACCCCAGATTCTGACTTCCTGAACCTCAGGACTGCTGCCGGGCACGAACTCCGCGTACAGGTCTCGGTGTGCAGGCCTACTAGTGTCCTTTTGACGGCGATGTCGAAGTGTTGATGTTTGGTGGTATTGCCGCTGCTGCCGCCAATGCTATACTATGCGCTACTGATTCCAGGGCCGATGTGACCCTGCCCATGATCATCTTACTTCTGCTGCTGCTCTGGTCTTGTAAGTCTTACCGGCGCTGCACCCTCGACCAAGGGCTACTTTCCTCAACTTGAGACCGGTAGTCAAGCTCCGCAAGCTTCCAATGCAACGGCATTAATGCTGCTCGAGGACTGTTCCATGGTCCTGCTAGCAGCTCCTTTGCCCCTGGCATGAACTTACACCCCTGATTAACCCTAAACATGCAACCCACTGCTGCCTCACCGCCACGAAGAGCCGAACGTTGCGAGAACACGTGATATTGCCCGAAGGGCCACAATGGAGCAATCATCGAGTTGGTGGATGAGGGCTATACAGGGTGTGGGGTTTGGAAAAAAGGGACGCTCCTTTGAACCTTGAGGCTCCGCGCTTCGGGCTTAGAGTTCAGTTATGGATTCTTCTCGCAGATCATCTCTCCGGTATGGCGACTTGTGGATGTAAGGGAACAAAGATGAGATCAATGGTTTTGCTCTCGCAGTGCCAGGTCGAATCTTTAGCACAATGCTGGTTTCTATAGTTTGCATGCTTGGCGTGGCTTTCGCGCATTTGAAGCCGAGCGGGCTGCAGGCCGCGAAATACACATCAACACCTTACCTTCTATACTGCTAGACTAGCGCAGTATTCGCGAGTCGGCAGCACTCATGAGACCATCGTAACATGAAGTTTGCGCACACTTTCACAAACAACTTTACGCAAGCTGTAAATTCCGTGTTCACCCATGCCTGAGTAGGAGCGAACCGCGTGGGCAGGAAAGCTGCTAATAAAGCTGGGCTCGGGATGAAGTCTCTGTCAAGCTCGCGAGTTAAGCGGCCAGCAACGAGCAAAAACGAAAAGATTGAATGGCCTTCTCGTATCAGATAGAACTCGCTAGCTCTATAAAGACCTCATCAAAGCGGATCACCAATCCCTCCGTGTATGTATGTTGCAAAAACATATGCACACACACATACATGCACGCATGTATGTCTATGTGCGCCCGCCTATAAGCTTCTACCGGTCAATTAGATACAGTCACGTTGCTGGGGCTTAAAATACCTAGATCCATCGCCAGGCATACACCTCGTCTTAGTCTTAGGTCTTAGGCCCCATGAAAGCCTTAAGCCTTTCGGCCAGAAACCCTGACTCTCCAGCTCCTTGGATGGGAGCATTTTTCTACGCAAAGCTCGTAGAATGTGTGTGGCACGGGATGCTGAAGTGTTCCTGGAATCTCCACCTGGGCGACTGTTTTTCACATTTCTTCACGACGACAGATGGGTGGCCCTCGGGTCGGATCTACAAGTAGAAAGACTCACATCGGTTTAGCAGACTTTTAAATTCAAGGACCTCCATCTGCCCCCCCAGACTCCCCCCAGTCTCTTCGCAACAGCTTGCACCTCCTGCGCCCGTGGCCCGCAGGCTGTGCCAAGCCGAAACTGACAAAACCCATCACTCCGAAACAGATCCCAACATAGACGGTCTCCGAACCGCATCAAGCCAAGCACCCAAACTCCAGTCCGAAAGCTGTTCGACAAGGGTTTGGTGCCCTCAACAGATTACTGATGGCCGCGATAGTGCGAACAGTGAAATCTACTTGGCATGTATTCCCGAACCTCCTACATCTCTGTCTTACCTCATTGATCCTTCAGTCCCTGGACGACAGACACCCAAGAACAAAAACACATACCGGTGCTCAATCCCCAAACCCGGAGCTTTCATGCCTCGGCCCTAAATTAAAGCAGCATCTGGGTCTCCCTGCTGCCCGCTGCAGCTGGAGGCCGGCCTGTTGGAACAGCATGCGCCAGGTGCTGTCCGGGCGAATGTTGCGAAGATACCTTCAAGCGGCTTTACGGTTTGGGGGGTGTTTGAAGTAGACCTATACCCTCAACCGTACGCCCAAATCAGACACCGTAGCTGTAATTCTAAACAATGGCATCGGGACGTCGCCGTACTAGAACACCTTGCATTCTTGCTGTTAAACACGTTGCCAACATGGTTGACGTACAAGAGCCACTCAGAATGTACAGCACGTTGTGTGCTACCCCGGCCCTCCACAAAAAAAGCCATCAAGTTGCTGAGCAGGGTCTTGGCCGAAGGGGCGGAAATGTTCTGCAGTGACCTCAACTCTTACGGGCCAAGCTCGCGGGAGAGGCTTCCACCTCGCTTTTTGGTCGTAACCACAGGCTCTGGTTGTCCTTCGAAGCGAGGCACAAGGAGAGCACCCGGGCTTCCGGGGACTTCCCGGACCGTCACGTAAATCCACGGCAAACATCGCATACGAAACCAGCCCAATGATCTTCACCCTCACACCATGGAGCAAGCACAGCCCGAACTGAAAAATTACCTGAAGCGCAACAAATGCGACGATGCAGTCCATGAGCCCACCTATTCTGACCTGCAAGGTGGCGATTGGCCCTCGCCCCCTCCAACCCCAAAAGAAAAAACTAAACGTTGTTGACCCTGAAATGAGGACAATGACCCTGTCCGAGATGCAGCCACTGCAAGCCGCCCCAGTCCAGCTGACACTGAATGCCGAGGCTGGTCTTCGAGGACCAAGACCTTCTGTTAGGTATTCCTTTCTTGAGGGTTTAGAGTATTACTAGTTATTACTAGTATTCATGTTTTTGCTAATTCTATCATGGCTAGTCACAGATGGTCAGCCAATGAAAACTTCGATTCAAGCAAAAAACACAGACTCACCATAGTTTAACTCACCGACTCGTTCATCGCATTCCGCCTCATTCCATCCCAGTTCATGTTCATTTGCATTCCAGCCCATTCCACGCCGTCATTCCATCCCAGTTCATGTTCATTTGCATTCCAGCCCATTCCACGCCGTCATTCCTGCATGTCTTCATTAATTCTTTTCTTCCTTCGTTCAGTCAGCTATTCGTTCACTCAGTGGGTCCACTCTTTGAGTCATGTGATCATTCATGTACCAGTATGAAATCTGATCCAAAAACTGATGAGTTAATCCTTAGGTAGCTAACCAACTCATTACTCCTTCTCAGGCATGTAAGTAGTCGGTCGAATAATCTGTTGATTACTTGATTGAGTGATTGCGTAACTAACAACAAGCATCTACGACTAGTTCGTGGCGTCATGCATCAACCATTTGTTCTCAGGAACTTCTCTTTTCTTGGCAGGGGCGGCCATAGATGCACTGTAGTGTTTCGGGCTTAATGTTTGCGGCTGTCTCGTGTACTATCGCGGGTGTTGGAGTCCTGAAGATGTAGATGCTAAACCTCCCAAGATGCTCGACGACTCACCCGGGCGGCTTCTGCAAGAGTATGTTCCAGTGCTTTTTCCTTCGGACGTTAAGTGATCACTTTGGGTGTAGATTAAGGTCGACGCTGTCCTCTTCACCGCGTCTTGTGGGCTTGGGGTGGAGCGTTCTAGGGTTGGGGTACTGCGATTTGGAAGAGGGGTCTCCAGTTTACTTTGGGGTTTGAAGCCTCGGGGGTAAATGCGCTCTGGCAGCTGCGATGCCATAGACAGAACCGAGATGCTGATATGCTATCGCCGAGTCAAACCCAGTGCTCATCGAAAAAGACTCCTGGTTTGGATACTGGCTACAGAGACTTAGGCGTTATCTTTGGGCATTCAGGAGTTACATGTCCAAGGTTTCGGTGTGAAGCAGTGCCACCACTACCCCAAACCATGGCCTTCAGACTCCAATCAGAAAGCCGGAGACTTTGATTGTGGAACCGAGGTTATGAAAGGCTTTAAGACGGCACTCGTGATCACTAGTGAAACAAACAAACCAAACCTGCAGGTTTCCCAACCCGGGACGTCTTTGAGCATGTGCACCTGCACTAAACCATGCTTTGAACCAGCGATAGCATGACGGTCTGGCTTCCTATGGGTCCAAGTAAGGCAGGGGGTGAGCAAAAGGCAGCACCACTCTATATGCGTACACGGTTATGACTTGTATCGACACCCTTGTCCGCAAAGCCCTTGTGATAATAAACCCTCGCAGCCTCACCGATGTGGTGCAGCACGAAAAGCAGAAGGCAAACATCGAAAGAACCTTGGGCAAGAAACAAACTGCCATTTATTGCCCACCACGGCCTTTGCCCGAAATGCCGAAGTCCACCCCAGACCTCCGGTAAGCCATCAACGCTTTCGTACATTGCAAGAAAATCCAACGACTTTCTCTCAAGGAGGCCATGAAGGTACTCCAGCAAAGCACTGCCGTGGATTCGAGCTCCCGATCTACGAGGCCAAGCTGGCGGCATACATCTCGATGCAGGGGCCTACTGCCCAATGTGTGAGGTGATACCACTGGTCTACATCAACCTTCAACTGGACGAAAGGATGCGCAGCAAGACACCTACCCCTGGCACAAGCTAGCGGCGGGCAATTTCATGAGACCTGGACACCTGCTTCTGAAGCAGTTAGCTACGATTGCTCAAATCGGCATCCGTGCCGCTATTGAAATGGTCATCACAAGTCGTCCTACCCGAGGTCAAAAACACGACGAATTGAACACTGCCGCCGGGCAGTTTGAGCGTCTCTTCGACTGCTATCACTGCCATGCTTGCTGCCGGTGTTGGTGTTGCTACTACGTTCTGTACATCTAGCAGTTGAATGCATCCCAGGTGCTCTCTGGATAGGGCCAAGCAGACACACCGTCGTGGAGCGCCACACGCTCCTCATTTCGAGCAGCTATCTTACGGAGCGAGAGAGAGAGAGAGAGAGAGAGAGAGAGAGAGAGAGAGAGAGAGAGAGAGAGAGAGGGAGGGAGAGGGAGAGGGAGAGGGAGAGGGAGAGGGAGAGGGAGAGGGAGAGGGAGAGGGAGAGGGAGAGGGAGAGGGAGAGGGAGAAACAAACACACACACACACACACATACTCGAGCGATCGGCAGCTCGAGATCAACACATCAAGCATTTGTGACCGGGGACACGTATTCTTAGGCCGCCTAAGTTGACCCGAATCCCTAAACTCCGCTCTACAACCAAAGCCCGGGAACGATGCCTGGCCGAGTCGTGCGGTGGCGGCTACTGCACAATCGGCATCAACCTGCTTCTCGCAGAGGCGGAGTGTGAACTAGAGTTCATACCAGCAACAAATAGTAATGTTAGTCATACTGATGGTTGTTTATAGAACTACTCCTGAGGAGGGTATTGAGGGATGAGGGCCTCAGGGTTTGGGCTCGGCTTTGGACTTCAGGACTTAGGAGCAGAAACTTTGAGGGGGCGAGAGCGGGTGCGGGGGGAGGGGCGGGGTTGCGCAAGCAAGATCTGCTCGGCCGGGCAATGCCACGAAACGCGCCGAACCCCGCTCCGAGTGTTGTCAAATTCAACTGGCACAAAACAAGTCCACATAAGGCCTCGATCCTTGGCAAACCCGTCATGAGCACGAAGCCACCCACCAAAGCCCTTACAAAGTGTTTGGCATGCATGTGACACCTCACACTCAACGGAAAAAAAGGCGCCGAAACTGAACCTGTTCACGGTTGGAAACACTGCGTATTCTTCGGAGGACCTCAAGGAGATGCACATCGCAGCCCATATCCGACCTGCTGCCGCCGGGTCTGTCAACAGACAGCTTCACGGTTTGCAGCTCAGCACAGGATTTCGGGTGTCTGCAGCACGAGCTTTGCATGCACGCGGTATTGCTGCATCGGGATCATGGCTTTGGCCTCTTGCAGATAGACTCCTTACATCATGTCAAGAGCTTGGGGGAGGCCGAAGACCAAAACAACAAGCATCTCCATTAAGATTCCGTAAAAGGTTCAACAACTGTCAACCCTCATGGGATCTCGTGATCTCCTTTAACTTGGGTCTTGCGGTATAGCGGACAAGGGATGGCAGGCGCTTGAAAGCCATGTCAGGTTGGACTTGAGGACTTTGCTCAAGAGCTTTTTCAGAAGTCACACAATGGTGTGCCCGGCGTGCAGGTCAGTATTTACGGATTTCGGGCTCATGATGTTGTGGGATTGAAGGTTTGGGGTCTTCAATTTTCATGGTCACCAGAATTTGGGAGGCATCAAAACTTGCAGCGACGCGCTTCAAGAAGCTCTGGACTGTGGGACGAAGCTGAGTGTAGCCTAGCATCCGGGACTCTTGCATCAGCGTTGCAGACTGAGCAGGCTCTGGGTCAATCGAGCCTTCGCTTTAGCCGATGAGGCTCGAAATCTGATGCCCCCCAAGGGCAAACCCCGTCCACACGGCATCCAAGCAACTGCTACCAACACCTGACAAAGCCCCGCAGAGCACTAAACCAAAAATACAGCAACCCTCGATCCTCAGCCAAAGCTCCCAGATCCTACCGCGTACTGCAATCTTGGCCCGGCACCACCACTCCGCCATGTGCCCATCCCCACCGCCAACCTCGAAGCGAAGGCTCTTGATCGGGCGTCTGACCACGGTTCCAAAATTTAAAGCCCCAAGTCGCCTAACCGGAAATTAAACAAAACCTCATAAAACGCCAAGTCTGAAGCTAGCTCTGAAGTCCTGCGCGGCTTGTCTCGGACACCAGCAAGCTTTTCTCGGACAGCTGTGGGGCGAAGTAAGACTCGAAACCCGTACCCCTAAACTTATTCGAAGCCCTCCCTCTCAAGCCTCAAAAACCGAAACCCAAAGACCGCGAACAATTTGCCATTCATGGGCAATTCCGCCGACTCATGGAGATTGCATCTAGATTGGGGTTTGGGGGTTTTGTGGTTTTGGGGACTTGGGGATTCTTTGGTGGTTGGAATTTTGCGAAGGGTTTCTGCCTCAGCCTGGGGCGGGGGGCTGTCGTAGTGTGGGTTGTTGGGTTTTGCAAGGGCTTGAGGTTTAAGAGTGCAGCGGTTGACGCTATGAGGGCGCGTTAGGGGTGTAAGCGCTTTCGGGGTGTCAAGCTCTGGATGCATCAAGTTGGGTGAAAAGTATATGTCGGCGTTGCAGGGAGTTCGGGGCTGTCGGGTTGGGCCCCTAGGCCCTACTCTTCTTGGAAGCATTGTGTGTAGCCTGGCTCCTGAAGCAACGCGTACTCAGTTTGGAGTAAGCTTGGCTGAGTGACATCCAGCAGGCGCAGAGGGCGCTCCCCTGCAAGGCGCATGTCCGATCTTCCATCATCAACGGAAACACTTGAAATCCATGAGGCTATGAGGATTCTGGTGTTCGGGATTGTCGTTGTATTTGGTCTGCAGAAAGGGCCGGAAACCCCGAACTTCCCACCCTGTCGAGGTAGTTCCACCTGCTTGCGTAATTGGTCTACGGAGACAGGAACGAACTAGATGAACAGTCGTAGGTGCTGAGTGTCTCGAACCCACATAAACCTCAGCCCTACTCCCACAGCCGGGAACCCAACATCCGCCGCCTAGCCCTACCGAACCGAAGGTCTGTTGTGAGTAGTCTGTTGTAGCCCTGGGTCCGAGTCAGACTCTTCCACACACATCTTCAGGGTTTGAGGGTCTAGGATCTTAACCACTTTCATTTTTTGAATTCCGAATGAAGACCTTCGGTGGACCGGCTTTCAGGGGTGACTGCGACCTGGACTTCTATCATCGGTGTTGCGGAAACCCCAAACCTGCAAAAGACCAATTAGCCTCCACGACGAAGCGCTGAAAAGCTCCGGCCAAGGTCAGAAAGTTGAGGGCAGGGTTTACGGGTTGTGGCCCAGTGGCGAGTACAACGTCACGCTAAAATGAACATCCTAAACTAAACCCTTATAAAGCCCTCAAGCGACAAACCCTGAACCGTCGCTTGTCGAACCTGCAAGGGCAGCCCGAAGGATGCTGGCATAACGGCCGTGTGATCTCTCCTCGGCTACCTGCCCGTCGTCGCTCGTCGGGGCTGCTTCAGGTTTCGGGTGTGGGGAAGCATGAAAGCCGTCAAGGGATTGACGGCATATCAATCCCAAGCGGATCGTAGCCTCAGCTGCGTTAACCTTCATACAAAAGCGCCGGCGCTAAACCCCTGGAAGAGCAAAAGAGCTCTGCGGACTTCAGATCTATTTCATGCTCAAAGACTAGGACCCTTGAGGCCCTAGCAAGACAGAAAATTGAGAACGTTGCGCACGGAGAGAAACTGCGGAAAAGAACCCCTAAACGAAGCCCTTACCCCTAAAAGAAGCCCTGACCGCCATTTCTTATGGATAGGCTGTGGCCCCTGCACATGTTCGGTACCCAAATGCTTCGGAAAGGCCCACCGGCCCCAAATTGCATCAGAACGCCCATGCATTGTAACAGACAGAGCTAGACATAGAAAAGTCCAATGCTCGTGACGGCCAACAATAAAATCTGGCGGCACTTCTGCTTTGTGGCGGTTTAGTGTTTCCAAGCGCATTCCCATCCTGCACAGGGCGAACGTGAGCATGGCCTCACGTCGCACAACCGACTCAATCTGCTGTGTCGTGATGGCTTCTTTGGCCTTAGCATCGGCAACCGCTAAGCAGCAAGCCCCATACACTGAACCCTAATTGCCCCATGTGCCTGACCCAGGAGTGCATGCACCGATGGACGCTACACTCAGTGTTGCCGGGTCCTGTAGCGGAATGGTCTAGCGGGGTTACAATTGAATCTATGCAGGCTTGCAGGCTTGCGGCCTCGATTGCAGCCTCGAGCTCGCTAGGAAAATTCAAGAATACGACAAACATGCGAAGCAACTCCAAGCCCGTAGATAGTCTAGTCTCATATCCGTCGACACGGAGAGACAGGGATTTGTTCCAAGAGATGGATGCACTTGGTACCCAGGGCAGTATGCGCCTAGACCAGCACATTGCAAGGGTGGCGCATGGAAAGCTGTCTGAGGCCGTTTTTTACCCTAAGCAAGTATGATGTTACGGCTTGCGATGGATCTGCAGGTAGGTCTTGTGATTCCTCTTCCTTTGTAATTATTCGTGTTTCCAGGCATGCACACACCGCAGACGGTCCCATCGCGACCAAGCGATAAGTTCAGTCTCGCCGGCTTTGTGTTTTCATCTGCAGAACTAGAGGTTGAAGCCACGTTGTTGGCACGCTCTTCCAGCTCGGCTGAAACACACCATTCTTGGCTTGTCTTTAAGTTGCCGCCTTCGTGCGCCTTGTACTGGGTAGTTGCTAGTCTTCTCGCCCCTTTTGCCCTCATCGTCGTGGAACTTCTTGTTTCACAATGAAGGCTATTTCCACATCCTCGACATCACGGCCCACGACCCCGCTACGTCTTGGAAGCCTGAGTTCGTTGGAATTTCTGCTACAAGACATGTCACCAAGCCCGAGCTCCCCTACTTACCGCTTAGGGGGTACTTGAGTATGTCAAAACCAGAAAGCCCATGTAAACAAGTAACGCCTGCAATCCTTGCAGTGGAGATTTCTGTAACGTTTGGGGACAAAGTTCAGATCGCTTGCTCTCCAAGGATCCGTCGCGATGATCACCGGACGTGACGTACTGGCCATGGAGTCACTTCAGGACCGTTGTTTCAGCATTCGACAGGTGGATAGATACCCCAGACCGGTCCATACCTAAAGTGGGATAGTGGCGGGTTTGCAATGAAGCCCAAACAGTGATCTGTATGCATGAACACGGGGCATTGTGTATGGCATGAGATTGCGTGCGAGCAGCATCTTCTATCAATGCTAGGTCGTCTGCCCATCAAACCAGTTCACCCCAAAGCCCCAAAGCCTGTGATAGCAACCCTTGATGGTTAATGTTTACAAAGTTCCTGGACTGTAGTAAGTCCTGCGTATTTCTGGTTTTTCAAGCCCACAATAGAGCTGCAGAAGAGCCTGCCAAGGAGGCGAACGTCCACTTCAAACGCCCGGAAAAAGTTGACCTCGATCTCGGAAAGCCGAGACCCTAGACTCTTTGCTCCCTTTTTTGTCGCGGGAATCGAGAGGTTCTCAGGTTGGGACCTCGGGAAGCCCGAATTTCTAGCAGAGCCTTGTTGTAGCTCGAGGACTGCGGACCTTCTACTGTCTGTAGAGGTCCTTTCCGTGCCGTGTTACGCACAACATTGAACTTCTAACTGCACTGAACCGTGGGGTTTTAGACCAGGCGTAAATTAACTGTGGGCTGTGTGTGAACATGTAGAGGGCTGGACCTTGCAGATTTAAACTGGTGATGGGATAAGACACCATTTCCTCAGTGCTCTCGGACTCTCCTGTTTGCCTGCAGGGAAAAGGATCTCCATCCGATTGCACGGGCAGAGGGATGATTGTCAGTGTTGTCAATACTACCTTGCTTTTGTCTGAGTCTTCGCAATGCTACGGACCCTATGCCGTCCCATTTTTGGGAATAGGCTGACGAACACTCGATGGATGCGAGACTGGCTTTCCACAAACCTGAAATCCCGAAGGGAAGGCGGCCCTGCTCTACAGACCGCAAGTCAAGCCTCAAGAACAGCAGCCTGTCAGGCTCTTGCTCTGGAAGGCGCAGTTTGTTAACGGGCTCCATCTTGGGATATCATTCAGGGTTTTATATTCGCAAAGAAGGAAATAGATTCTCCAGGTTTTATCAAGCAGCCAAGTAGTCGATTGGCTCCGCCGACACCATGGCGGCCATGCTGCCGCTGGCACAAAGGGACGCGAGAGTGCTGCCAAGAAGTCGCAGCAGGGCCTCGTCGGCTAGGGGGGTTAAGGTGGAGATTTTTCGAATTGATTGCGTCGAGAATGCAGGGCTGAAGGATTGAGGACTTCGGGAACACGGTCCAGGAGGAAGGATTTGGAATTTAGGTTTACGGCTCCGGCCCTGCGGACTTGGATTCGGGTTCAGAAAGGGAAGATCAGGCGGGCGGAGGGAACCGTTGTAACAAGTCTCATCCTGCAACCCCAAACCCCAACCTGGTGAGTAGCTTGTACGACAATCAAGGGCCATCCTACGCTGCCATGCTGGTACCTGTTCGCTTCCTTATGGGTTGAGGGCTTCCAGGTCAGCCTCGGGGTTTCTGGTTCCCAGCTTCATTGCGTGGTCCGACCTCGACGCAGCCAAGCGCATCCCAGCGATATGCGGACAGCTGCATGACAAATCCGTTGGCGACCTGATGCTTGAGTGCGGCTCAGGCACCTGTTGAAGCGACCTTTCAATGCAAATCCCCGAGAAATCGCAACAGAATTTTCTCATCAGACAACAAACAAGGAGGAATCGCTTCAGATAGTTCGGTTCCCAAGGTCCGAATGCATTCTGAAGTCTCGAGAAAGACGGAAAAAGACTGGGACCCACACCTAACTTTTGGAAGCGTTGCCCGGCTTTTCCCTCGAATCCCAGTACTTACACAAGCCATATATCGGAATGAAAGTTGTCCATCAAACGCCCTCAGTTTCTCGCTGCGCCGGCGCGACTTCAAGTAAACCCGACCCCGGTGCCTCCCACCATATACAACCGAGCGGCAGAACTTACAAGACGCGCCCACCATGCAATCATGATCACTTATAGCTTATATACGTGAGCCGGGAAAGGGCTTTTGCCGTGGAGGAGATGCGGCATCGCCTTGATGTGATTCCAAGAACCGCTCATGGAAGCAAAGCGGCCAGCTCTCCAGCATCCAGGATCAGCTCGTACTTCCCTGGCCCAGGCCTGGGTTGCCTCGGACAAAGTGCGCCCCGCAGCTGTGGAAGGATCTATCTGCGGTTCGATACGTGCATGGTAGACCACGGTACAAGTCTTTCGTGGTTCAAGATGGTCGCCTATAAGGATTTTCCGGGTCTGCTCCTGATCAGAGTGCCCAAGCGCTTAGGACCCAAAGCTCCCGAAACCCTAAACCTCGACTTCAAAGGAGGGGGCGAGAGCGTGCTCTTCGAGGTTGCAGGATCAGGTTTCCGTTAAAGGCGCCTACAAGTTTAACGGCTCCTACAAGGCAGTGGTTTTATACGGTTTAGGGTTTCGGGACACTCTGCAGCCTTTGAAGGGTGGCTGCTTTGGAACACATCCTGCTTTCGGGTGTTGGGGCAGCCTTCGTGACACAAACTCTCGCCAGTCTTTCAGGCCCCACATCCCGTCTCGAGGCCTCCACTCGCAGGGCTCAGGCCCCGGAAACCCCAATTTCCCTGATCGTTCCTCTGAATTTCTCCACTTCGAGCTTTGGCGCACCTCTTCCACCTCCCCCGTCGCAGCACGAGAAAGCTGCAGAGAGGAGCCCTGCCTCGTGACAGTACACAGTACATAGAGTACACACAGAGAATATCGGGGCTCAGTAGCTAGAGGCTGCAAGCTTGCAACTGTCACCCCAACCAGGGCGGTGAACAACTACTTCGAATGTATACTTGAGTCCGATGAGCCGGTTGAGCAGCGACGGCTCTCGGTGATTGACTGCTTTGTTGCTGCTCTGTTTCAGGCTTATAGATTGACTTGAGTCACGTGTATCATGTCAAGTCTGAGATTGAGGATTTTAACACACATGCCGCTTCTGAATTACTTTTTGCTCCCTACTCAAAGAAGCCCCATGCACCGTAATAGAAGACCACAAACCAGACAGTATGACCTTGCTGACTCTTTGAAAACTTGGAGCAACCAGACTCAGCGCTAGGACCTAGGACGACAACCCATGGAGTACGTATCCAAACAGAAAGCAGCGTAGAGCACGAGCGCAAGTAGCGGTAATGATGTCCGGCAGACTCTATTTGGACAAACCCGTCTTGTTCTGCGCTTACAGCTATTTTCTACAAATCCAGCCGCATCCAGCCCTCACACTCACAAGCAGGCAATTGTCTTTGGCTGAGCGGTCTGCGAAAAACACTCCCAATGCCAGATCCTCAACCTCAGCAACTCCGATATGTTTCAAACTTCGGCAAAGCATCGAATGAGCGCTGAATCCAGGTCCGACAGCAACCCGGGCGCCTGCCGATCTCTCAACTACGTCTATGACACCCATTCATGACAATGTGCTGATGATGATTTTGATGGTGATGCCAAGCACTTTCCTCTTCTTCTTCTTCTTCTTCTTCTTCTGCTCCGCTCGTTCCTACACCACACCTTGACCACCGCCTGTATGAAGGGTTCGAGAAACCAGAGTAACAGCAATCATCTTTGGGCAGCACACGCCATCAAGAAATGGTGAGCATACTTTACAGGGAAGAACTTATGTCGCACTATCGTCCTCGTCCACGGTTTGCCGCACGAGTGGGCAGCGAGCGTACAAGTCTTCCTGGGAACCAAAGCCACAAATCCCACTCCCCGGCATAGTGGCAACCAAGAGCTCAGAGATAGCAACAACTGGGTCATCCATTGCAGTCTTAATGCTTCTGACTTACATCACTAATCATCACCACATCTACACTCCGCAGGAGTCCCGGATCATGCTGCAAGTCTCTAACGGAACGCACATGGCGATGGCAAGTTCGGCTATTGGGCTCATGGGTGACCGTGTATGAGAGAGCTTCCGGGAACAGGACTAAGTGAGCCCCGCATGTATACCCACTATTCAGTACAGGATCCCTTCCTCACTGCACTTTCCTAAGGGGGCAAAGGGAGCAAGAGTGTGGGATCGGGGCCTTGGGGTTGTAGTTTGGGCTCTCGGCTCAACAGCTTAAGTCGCCACACCTGCGACTTTCTGCATCATCCGTAACAATGCACTCAGGACCGAACAATCAGAGTTCCGTGGGAAGGGCCAGTCCCATGAACCTTCAACCCCAAACCGACTTCCTGCCTACGCATCCTGAACACCGAAACACTGCGTTCAACATCCGGCGCTCGGACCATGAAATCCTTAACTGGAATGTAACCGTCTGGGTGCAGAGTATGAAGTGTGCAGGACAAACCACCACCCCCACCACCTCCACCACCACCACCGCTACCACCACTCCTACAACTACCACGATGTAACGAGTACTACTACTTCTGCCTCCACGACGGCGACGACTGGTACTACCACGGCTGTTGCTACTACCATTGCTTTCGTTGTTTCTCTGTTGAAGACGGATCTTGCGACGGTAACATTACCCGCCTAGGGAAGGCTGATCCAGCTCTGCCAGCTCTGCAGCGTCAGGGACGGAAGCAGACGTGTCTTCAGTCTCGAGCTGAGGCTCGCCCAAACCCCACAAATTGAATCCTAGAGGCTAGGGGACTTAATTGCCTACTTGAAGGCAAAGTTCGCACTTAAACCTCTGTGTTTGTCCAGGACGGCCAATTTTGCAAACTGAGCCTAGTTTCGGGGCATCGCTATGTCAAATCTCCAGCCCAAGATTCATTACAGAGGTCACGAGGCAGGCGTTAAGAACATAACCAGCATCGTCCATGTCTGTTGCTCTGCTGCTGCTGCTGCTGGTGGTGTTGTTGGTGTTGGCGTTGATGTTGTCGTTGCCGTGGCTCGAGCGGTCGCTAGTGGTTGTGGTTGTTGTTGCTGTTGTTGTTGCTGCGTCATCGTAGGAGCAGTGGAGGCAGCACGGCTCGGAGAGCGTTTGAGTAGAAGTAGCACCTAAACGTGAAACCTTTCCTTGGAAGGGGGTTCATGGATGTAGCGTATCGCTCAGAGTCTAAGGGCGAGGCGTTCAGAATAGCAGCACAGAACCCCAAGCAAACGGAGAGTCAAGGATCCTGGCCCCGTATTGCAGCGGCATAGCGGTCCGGCCATCTTCGCCGACGTCTCCTTTGCAGGGCTTCGGGCTCTTTTGAGCTTAGCAAGCTTGGGATCGGGGATCAAGTCGCGACTTCACAAGAATCCAGCGATTCCGGGTTCCAAGACTTACCAAGATGGCGGCAAAAACGTCTGTCGCTCAGCTTGGCATTGATCGTAGCCGAACAAGCCAGTATGTCTCTTGAGCCCGCAACGCAAAGTCACCTTGTAGCCTTAACCCCGGAATGCTGATTAGTTAAAGGCCGTCATGCCTGGTCCCTATAGATTTGTAACTCTGAATGCCGGAAGGTCACTAATACGGCCGAACCGCAGAGCAATATCCGACTGCAGCCCGGAATTTCCTACACCGCGTAATCCGCAAGACCCTAGTTTCCCTATCTTTTAACATTCACACTTTCTTTGACATTGCAAGCCAAAAAGCTGCTGCGCTGAGCTGAAGAAAGCGAGTGCCATCGATCATGTCACACCTGATTCTAGGGACGCTGCCGGATCATGCTTCGGGTGTGGAGGCTTTAAGCTTGAAGTGCAACGATTAAGGACATATGTACGAGTTGAAGTTTATGGACCTACGATCTATCCTGAGATCGGATGCTAGCTTCGGAAAATGCGGTGCAAGGCGCTGAGTTCTCCAAGCTGACTGAGCCACTACCAAGCCACTCAAAAGCTCTGGGTCTGTTTGATCCTTCGCATCCCAAAGCGCTGTTTTCTTCCAGGATTGCCCTTGGCCACCGCAAGCTAAGCCCAACCTCCCCACACCGAACGACCGAACGATTTTGTTCATTGCTATGTAGGGTGTCCATGCGCGCTATAGATCCTGCAAACTGCAACCCCTGAGGCGAAGCTAGATGAGTTGAAGGAGTAGGGTTTGTCGCATATCTGAGGACCTCAAGACTTACATTGCCAGCGTGAGGGTTCAATGTAAGCGCCTCTTCAGATATGCTACCAAAACCGACTCAGCCTGTAAAGATATGAAAAGCACGGCCCGATCCTTCCGAACACTGCTCGCGTTTCAAACCAGCACCCCTCATCAGCTCCGGTTCCAGTCACATCGCTGCTAAGCATCCTGATTGCTGCGGGAACACTTACAACATAAGTCGAACGTGAAGGTAGGATGCCTGCCAGCTTCCAGCAGCAATCGCACTATCTCCTCATGCCCTTCGCCGGCAGCGACGCTGAGAGCCTTTGCGTCGTCCGGCCCGCAGATTTTATCTGCGTCTGCACGGGCACCCAAAAGCAAGCCGGCGATTCCTACGTGACCCCACATGGAAGCCAACAAGAGAGGCGTTAGAACATGCAAACGCATGGTGTCTTTAGGCATTGTATGACGATAGCCAGGAAGTGAATGCGGCACTGTCTCCTCAAGCATTCTTGCAACTTCCAAGTGGCCGTTTGACGCTGCTGCAACAAGTGCTGGAGAAATGTGCATGTCTGCTGATGCAGTGATCTTCCGATCTGGCGTCTTCTCGTCGTCAACACTGCCGAACAACAGCAAACGCACGGCTTTCAGATGTCCGCCTTGGCAAGCTGCCACCAAAGGCCTTGCGTCGTGCCCTAAGCAAAGAACCGACTCCGGTCGGTGAGAGTTTGGATCTGCACGCGCCTCCAACAAAAGCCGTGCGACCTCTGTGTTCTTCTCCCTCGGGCCTTGGGCTGACTCAGGTCTGGCGATTTGCTCGTGCCCGTCGATTGTCGCAAGCAGTGGCGTCACCTCGGATCCGTAGAAGTATCCGATCGCCTCTTTCGATGCACCGGCCTCCAACAAGAGCCGTACAATTTCAACATGCCCCCTGGCAGCTGCCAGGACCAGAGCAGGGCCCTGGTAGCCTCCACCGAGGGCATGGCCGTCTTTGTCTGCACGGGCCTCTAGCAGTATACGCACGACCTCCGTGTGACCCCTGTCGGATGCTTTCCCAAGAGCTGTGTTGTTGCCAGGATCGCCAAGCATGGGTCGAAAGACGCCGCGTCTGTTTGGGTCTTGGGGTCGCATGAGAATCTCCTCCACAGAGGCCACATGGCCAACACTAGCTGCAAGGATAAGCTCTTCCTCCTGCTCCTCAGAAACACTGGCATATGGTAAGAAAACCAACTGCAAATCGGTTGGCAGCTCTCTTGCACAGGAATCATCATCCAGGCTGCGACCTTTGTGCACCAGCCGTTGCCTGAATCGGGAAATGTTAAACCGTTTATGGAGCTGTTGCTTTAAGGACCTCACATCACCGGCAAAATCAGCGGAAGTAACAATTTCCTCTCCTGAAACCGTCCAGATGTGCAGCGTGTTCGGGTTCGGCCGAACTGCAGCAGGCATGGCAGAATTACCAGTCATGCAAACAACGCAGGTAGGTAATAACGGCTGAAGATGTCCCCGTCTTGTTGTGTGGGTCTCTCCGGACGTTTGCTGTCGAATCGTGCCTACCCCGATGCCCCAAAACCTGAGTATAAAAGACGGCGACGAGAAAGGGTATAGTGAGTATAGTGAGCTCAAAATACACTAGAGATGCGCACATACAAAGTGCATGTGCTTCCGATTGCGACACGTCCCGCCCTTTACCCGATCTGAAATTCAAGTTGTGCAATTTGGGTCAGTTGCTTGGATCGCAAAGTGCTAGAGCTCTGAATGCAACGAGGTAACACCATCCCACCCATCCGTTCTGCCATCCACTCATGCATCTATCCATTCATCCATCCACCTACCCATCCACCCGTCCATCCATCGATTCATCCATCGAGCCATCCATCCTTGCATCCATTCCTTCATTGATCCGTCCCCGTCCAACCCTCCCTCCCTTCCTCCATCGATCCATCCATCCATTCCTACGTTACGTTCCATTCAGCTCTGTCAATCCCATGTCAGTCTATTTCATTCCGTTCCTACATATCCATCTGCCCACCCATCTATCCATCCACCCATCCATGCGACCCCTCGAACTTCTCTATCAACCCTTCCTTCCACAACGCATTCCATGCAACCCTACGTACATCCCCCGACCTGAACCTCTTAACTTAAACACGAACTCGAAACGCTCAGCTGAACATGCCATGCCAATTCCACAGCAGGTCTGGGCTTAGGGCCGTTTCATTTTGAGCTGTTTTCTCAACGCTCCACCAGCTGGCTACCGGAAGGCCATCAGATCCGGTAGGACTTGTTGCCTTTTGGCAACAAGACAGCTTACCACTCTGTCACTGTGATGCTGCCCTCATGCATGCCCATCATCGGCCTTGTTTCTTCTCCTCTGCGCTAACTTGCAGGCGCTTGCGAGTGCTGAATCTCTGCCAAAGCCTAACCGATAAGCTGTTTAGGTTCTGATGCAAGGTTTCAGGATTCGGGGTTTGTAGTCCTTCGGTTTTTAATGGGAACAAGGCTTCAGAGGTTTCGGGATATATGGTTTCGAGGTTCATTTCCTCACCAGGGACTCTTTTGCTTTCCATCCTCGTGTTCATAGACTCTGAAGCCGAGTTCGCTTCCATCGTCTTAGATCTGTGGCTACACATCTGCGGACAGCACGACAAATGACCTCGTCTTCACAGCAAGCATTAAATATTTTGATCTTCTCACTGGAAATACAATAGAAGCTAAACTCTATCAGGGAACCTCATTTACAAGAACCTTAATTCAGCTAAAGCGGTTTCGGTGTGTAGGTTTCAGGATAAGCGGTACCGTGTACCGTGTTGTGCTGGCGCACTCACTCAGCAGCACCTTCAGCATCTGTGCCTGGCAGAGCCGCGGTGAGCGCCAAAGAGACTGAGGAGTGGGGTATGGGGCTTGACCAAGCTTAGACCATAACCCGCAAGCCCAAGACCAGAAGACACCGTCACAGCTCGTGATCGCAAGTTTCCTAGGCATGACACATGAAGGCTAAACAGTAAGTATCTCAACCCCCATCTTGCTATATAAAAGTCTACAGCCTCTGAAGAGCTCCAGCTTTCATTACAACACTACATCATAAACCTCTCGACTCAGCCGCATTTGTTGAAGGCACACGATGGAGCCCGGAACTAGGGATTCGGAATACGCCGGAACCCGAAACCCAAACGCAGCGGGGCTTCAAGACTCTCTTGGGTCAAGTGGGAGCTTTCTTGAACCGGGGTATAGGATTCTGAATGCCATTAAGTCGTTAATCGGCGAAACCTGTTCAAATCACAGATCACGCCCTAAAGCCTCGAACTAACCAGAGGGCCCTAAACCGTGATCCTCGCAGTTACATGCGACTTCCTTTAAGACCAGGCTATCTCCTGAACCCGAAGACCCCACTCCCTAATCCCTGTGCCCTACAACCGGAATACTTGATTGATCAGACGGAGGTTGTGGTCTCTCCGGTGGATAGGGTCCGATAAACCCGACTTTTCTTCAAGGCCCTGCAGAATACGTTTCAAAAATCTATATTTGCGTAGGCGGGTCATCAATCAGGGGTCTACAGTGCTGAGGGAGAGGGGACCAGGCCAGGTCTGGATATACAGGGTGCTTGCAGGTTGGTTCAGTTCGGAGTTTGAGGTTTCGGATTAAGGGTTTCAACTGCAATCGACAAAATGAACCTCGAACTCCTGCGTTCAACTCTTAGCAGCAAAACGCCGCAAAGACAAACAAAAAACCCGCCGCTGTTGCCATAAGCCCATGTCCAGCCCAGATCTGCCAAACCTTGGTCAACTGGAGCATTCGGAACTAATTCGGGACCTTCCCACCGCAAGCTTGTCCTTGGAAGAATTAACGAGCATCCGACTGCTAAAGTACGCATACCTACGCCATATAGCAGTATACATGTATAACTAAAACCATGTGTACAATACAAAGAAAATAGCAATGACACACACACACACACATGCATACATAAGTACATACATACACAAACACATACACACATATACATACATCTATACGCATCCACAATTTTGCTTACTCTGGGCTGGCGCATCTACATGCTTCAGGTTTCTCTTCCACTCTAGTGCTCCAGGGTCCGTTTGTAGGGCTCGAAATTTGCTTACAGGTTTCTTGTCTTGGTATGCAGTGAGGATCGGGTTGGGCTTGTGGCTCATAAAACCATCACAGCGCGAATCTCGAAATGTGCCTTTGTTGAGGTGCACTGAAAAACGACTGCAGCGACTACAAACTCAAAGCTTGGACTGTAAATCGTACATCTGAGATAATTCATGCCCTTCCAATAACCTGATGCCGAAACAGTTCTGGGAGCACGGCATTTCGGCGCCTCCCATTGTGCATGGCCGGAAAACCTCGGCCAGCGCGTGAAGTTAGGTCAAGGTGTTCAGTATATAAGTTAGCACTTCGCCTCTGGGTTCAGCCCCACTTTAGGATGGTTTAAAAGCTACAGTCAATGCTAGGAATACACAAACAGGCTGGGAGTGTTTTCTGGCCTGCCAATCACCAAGGATCAAACGAACTTTTCCGAGGCAGCTGATTTGTTTGCGGGTGGTGGGCCAAGCGAAAGCAGACTCTTGGTTTAGGATACCCTTTGGGATATAGGGCCGGGTCCTCAGGTCCAGGTAGGATGCTGCAAGCCCAATGCCGTCATCATTGCGCAATCGATGCCGAGCCTGAGGCCTTAACCTCAGACTCCATGCCACCAAGACGCACTGCAAACCCAGAACGTTCTAAACCCTCATGTAGCATGAGAACAAGAAACGGTGGCTCTGAAGACCCCGAAAGGGGCAGCCCGTTAAGATCTCGTTTAGATAGCATTCTTTGGGCAGGCTACGTGCACTTGCATATATTTATGTGAGTATGCAATTTCATTCATCTGCGCTGGTCCTGCACAGGACACAAATCAGTTCGTTTACGCTAGACCTGTCTAGGGACACTGAGACCGAGTCAAGACCCTACATCCTATGGAGATACAGTAGAGGTATATTACTTCACAAAGACCATGACTGATGCCTGCAGCAAGAAGACTAAACTACGTACGGTACGTACGGAGCACAAGGACCAATGCTAAACTTCTGTTTGTTCATCTCGTCGAAGACCGGCATCGTAGAAACACTAGAATGAGCTGCTGTTGCTGCAGCTTGGAAGCCGATGAACGAAGAACCAAGCGGTGTGCTCCTGGCAGAAGGCACGGCTTCCCTGGCGCCGAGTCTATGCACCCGACATCCGAAGAAACCCCGGATCCTCAATCTGACTCCTATATACCAATATTGCACTATTCCACACCCTGAAGTCGAGGTCTTACCTCCTCACTGCATTGCGGTTGAGCCTCACTGCACACACAAATCAACCATCATCAAGCCGTTCGGATTTAAGTCATATCTCGGTGTTGTCGCTGCATGGCCGGCATCCACATACTTGATGGGCATCGTTTCCGGGGGCTTAGGGATCGAGCTGTTTGGGATCTGCCTTCAGGTTCCCACTCATGTCGGCAACTCCCATCCAGAAACATCCTGGCTTGCTAAGCCCTTCTGAAGCTCTGCGGAAAACCTCTGCAGGCAGCGAAGATTTGGAAAACACACGTAAGCCCGGACGACAAGACACGAACTTCTGCAACAACTCTTCGGAGCGTGCTTGTTATCGTTGTTTGCCTTGAAGACCTCCGTTGTACGACTACTGCACGCCAGGCTTGAGCCACCCAGGCCTCTGACCAGTGAACATCCCAACAGCCGGCGGAGCCTGAACTTCTCTGGGGGGCTTTTGGGGGGTAGCTCATCGAATAATCGAATAACTGCAGCTCGTCATGACATTTAAACCAAGAGCCGCGGAGGGACTTGATGAATGAGAACTTAAGTGATGTAAGTGCTATGGATGTTGGCATCTGTGACATCTGTGTGTTCCAGCACAGCTTCGAGCAGCTTCTGTCGCTGCTGTGAAGTCGTGTCGGTATGCTTACGGACATAATCCTCAATGGCATCCGTATTAGGTTTCAAGCTGAAGTGAACCCAAGCTTGGCACAGTCCTGGCGACTCAGCACCAGGTACATCAGAACGCACACTTACTATCTCTGCCTATTCCCCCAGTTGCCAAGACCTGAGAGCACAATGTGTAGGAGCTCCAAGAACTCAAAATCAGGTGCTTGTGCACACTATAGTCACTATACAGTAGTATGCCTATAGGGGACTTGTGCGATATGAGGACAAAATGCTTCGACGAGTTTGAGTCGAACCTTGTTATCCCAAATGGCCGGCCGCATTGATCCTAAACCCCAAGCAGGCAGTGATCAACCACAAAGCCCAGAACCGTAAGATCTCTGTGTCCAGGGAGTCTTGTAGTGTGGTGGCTGCTCTGGCTGCAGATCAAGCCACGATGGCGTCAAGTTTAGGGCTAGACTTAGAAGGCTGAGGATTTGCGAGCCTTAGGTGTGTGGCTTG